GCCAGCAGTATAAGTATCGTGGTCATGTCATTAACTTCTTACGGGATATTGGCCACGTCTATACGCAGCTTCCTCTTCTGCCGCGCGAATTGGACATCATCATACTACGCCCACGGGATTCAACGAACCAGCCACACGTCGTCCGGCAGTTTCGACGTCAATTCCGTGTTCGGCAAGGTCACATTCGCGTCTGGCTGGAGCACCTTCAACTTAACCACCCTGGCTATCGAGATATCATTATTGACGCTGAACGCCTAAGTCAGCTACCAAACGACGGTGATGTGGTTGATCAAATGCTTGCCGAGGAAGTCGCTGTGCCTGAGGGCGTGCAAGCAGAGCAACATCCTATAGAGCACCCTGACCCTGAGGCTGTTGAGAATGCTGATGCAGCTGGCATCGACGACTACGATGCAGCAGCAGTCCCAAACTTCATTGCAGCGCAGGCTGACCTTGAGCGTCTCCGGGCTCAGCTTGAGGATCACGAACCCGTACCGCCCGAGCAGATCCCTCTGCGCCAGGCCCATCGAGATGCCTAATATCCGATCTACGCCTCTCAATGAGTTCAATCGTTCCCAGCCTCTGCTGTCTCTCGCCTTTCCTACCCTTTACCCTACTGGGCAGGCAGACTTTGTGGCACCTCGTCAGAGGACAATTCGGTACGATGAGTATATCGCACACGCCGTGAGATACCATGATGGTCGTTTTGCTAGGCATCCACGCTTTCGATATGTTGCTTTTAACACACTTATGCGGCAACAGGTTAACTCTCACAGTTCCTTCTTTGTGAAGAGGCCTGGCCTGCAGCAGCGAGTTGACATGGATGAATTACGCAATGCCTTTGAGGAAGATACCCGGAATCTCGCGCACTCCTGAGCTCTATTGTGCGCTTCTCAAGCAGCTTAAAAGGCACACGAGCTTACTGGGGCGGCCAGAGACATCAGCTTGAGGCCCTCGTCCACGGCCTTACCTGTCCTGGTGTCTTCCTCACCTTCTCAGCTGCTGATCTTCACTGGGATAGCCTCCAGAGACACATGCCGTCATATGTTGAATGGCGTGAGGCTGATAGCCGTGGTAAGGGTGCTATTGCGTTCCGGAATCTCCTTGAAAACCCTCATATCGCAGCATATCACTTTCACAGCCGTTTTACTAGCTTCCTTAAGATAGTATCGATGCCAAAGTTCAACATTACCGACTATTGGTTTCGCTACGAATGGCAGGCCCGTGGCAGCACGCATGTGCACGGCCTTTATTGGGTTAGGGATACACCAAAGCCTGATATGTCTACTCTCGAAGGCAAAGCTGAGTTTGCCCGGTTCTGGGCCCCCTTATGTCTCTGCCATTAACCCAGAGCCGCTTCGTGTGATGCAGCAAGGCGACGCAAATCCATTGGTACTAGTCCGACCGCCGCCTACTTTCCAGTTCCTCGCTGAGGTTGTTAATCGCGTACAACGCCATCGTTGTTCTGAGCTCTATTGCTTGCGACACCGCCGACTGCCTGACAACTCTCTGTCAAGGGAAAAGCTATGTCGATTCCACTTCCCTCGCGCCTCCCATGCCGAGGCCCACGTCACACATGGCCTTAACCCGACATTCCTTGTGTATGATGGCGCACGCAACGACCCTCTGCTTAACAACTTCAATCCCCTTTTGGCTATTGGCTGGCTTGCAAATCATGACATTTCTCCCTGCACCTCCTTTCATGCAGTTGTTAACTATCTCGGCAAGTACTGCTCTAAAGCTGAGAAGCAGACGGAGAGCTACCGCGACGTCGCCAGGGCCATCTTGCCTAGAGTCAATGCACGACAGGGTCTCGTCAGCTTCGTCGCCAAGTTCATGAACAAGCTTACGGCTGAGCGTGACTGGTCTGCTATGGAGATTAACCACCTGCTGCTCAGCCTACCACTCCAGCAAAGCACGAGGACTGTACGATCGGTTGACTGCCGCCCTCCTCAAGAGCAATGGCAGGCAGCTATTGTAGATGAAGCTGCTGATGGTATTCGGGCCTCAAGGAATATATATCAGAAATACCTCGCTCGCAACGATCAATGGGCGCAGTTGACCTACTTTGAGCTTCTCACCAAAGTTGACTTTACACGCCCGGCAGCCTGGCACTACTACAGCCGAGCCCCTGACCGTGTGTTGAGCTATTTCCCTCGGTACAAGGCCCTCCGCGGTAACGAGCAGTACGAGGACTTTTGTCGTGTCAAGTTGACCCTCCACCATCCTCATCGCGACCCTCAGGAACTCAAAGAGGTAGATGGCGCCCTTTTCGACACCTTCTCTGGGGCATACGACCATTGCTCTGCTGTCCACGACGTTCATCCAGACGACTACTACGGGGACCTCCCTCCTCCAGTCGAAGAGGAATTCCAGGAAGAACCGCGTAACGAGGAAGATGTTGCGGCTGAGGATGGGAAGAGCTTGCTGCAGTGCTTCCAAATCGTGGTCCAGATGAAGATGACATTGACTTACTGGGAATCGCGATTTTGACCTTGCTCACGATTGGCAGCCCTACATTGGCAAGTATCCGGATTTAGCCATTCTGGGGCATGACTATTGGAAGGAGCTTAAAGCTTCACACCCCCTAGGCAACAACCAAGATGATGTCCCTGATGGCCTCTTTGATCAGCTTAACGTCGAGCAGCGCACTGTGTTTGACCTATTTACTCGACATCTTGAGAAGGCTCTCGACCCTCAACAGCCAAACCCGGCACCGCTCCTTGTGCAGGTAGACGGAGAAGGTGGCACAGGTAAATCCTTTATGATCAGAGCGCTCTGTGCACGTCTTGGGCAGCTATCTCAACCTGCTTCGCTCGGGCTGCCCCTACCGGTGTGGCTGCTAATGCAATTGGCGGCGTTACACTACACTCCTTCTACGACTCCCTCTTACCAAATCTTCAACGGAGCTGCCGTTGCTAGGCCCTACAGACATTGCCAACCTACAGTCAAAGCTACGCAACCTCCGCTACCTCATTATCGACGAGAAGTCAATGATTGGCTTGCGTACTTTGGCTACATTGATAGCCGCCTCCGACAAATATTTCCCGAATATCAAGACACCTTTTCGGCGGCCGTAGCGTTTTGTCGCTCGGCGACTTCTACCAGCTTCCACCTGTTATGGAGAAGCCGCTCTTTACTACGTCTATGCTCACGGCTTTACCTGATATCAATGGCCGCAATGCCTACCTGGCATTCGACAAGACAGTTGTGTTACGACAAGTGTTGCGTCAGCAGGGCGAAGAGCAGGCTCCTTTTCGCACTGCTCTTCAGAGCCTACGTATAAATGCTCCTACTGTCCTAGACTGGGAGCTGCTCTGCACCCGCGTCCAGGCCAATCTGACCTTAGCCGAGGTTACGTGCTTTGACGGGGCAGTACGCATCTACACAACGAATGCCCAGGTCCGCGAGTTCAATAGGGATCATATGGAACGCCTAGCTGTGCCTTGCATACAGGTTCGGGCAACAAATGTCGGTCCAAAAGCCGCCGAAGCTGACTCTATGACTGCTGGCAACTTACATAACCAGTTACCCATTTGCATTGGGGCAAGAGTTATGTTGACTGAGAACGTCTGGACTGATGTTAGCCTTGTTAATGGTGCACTGGGGACCATATATGACTTTGCCTATGAGGATCACGTACAGGATCCTCAAGCTCATCATCCCTTTGTCATTATGGTCCGCTTCGATCGCTATACCGGCCCCCCTTATTTCGACGACCCTGAGCTAGCCAACGTCCAGCCTATCTTTCGCTCCTGGCGGGACTTCATCAAGGGTAGTATGCCCTGCTCTCGCACTCAGTTTCCCTTGACAATTGCATATAGCATCACTGTGCACAAGGCACAGGGTGCTACGCTTGAATGGGTTGTTGCCGATATATCCCATCGCGATTTCCAGTCTGGCCTCACCTACGTCGCCGTCTCGCGCGCCAAGACGTTGAATGGCATCATGTTTGATGCGTCCTTTGATCTCAATGATATCCGGCGTCGCACGGATGGCTCTATGGCTGCTCGGGCTGCTGACGCTGCCCGGCGTGCTGGCCAGGTTGTGACTGCCCAGGAAGCATTGAATTGACTGGTCATACATTCGCCTGCTTGCAGAAACTCTCAATGTGACAATTTGGCTCTCTTATGGGTCAGCAAAAACGGGGATGGGGTTTTCTCTAACTGAGAGTCTGAGCCATTTGATCATATGCACAGGAGCGAACAGGAGCCTTTTGGATGACGATTAATAAGGGGAATTGCTGGCTTGCTTGCAATCCTCTCCAAGCACAGCCTTCGTAGCACATAAATTTACAGCTTTGCTTACTCCTGTGACGGCGTATTCGGCGGCAACCCAGGTATCTTACGTAGTAGCTGAACCTAGAGGTCCCTACCCGTGGGTATTTAATATCTAGCGACAACGACATATCTAAGTCCGCTTAATGTCCAGCAGACTAATAAAGCAAAAAAGAGTTATACTAAATAGACGATATATAGGTATAGAGTTCTGGATATAGGCTTATGTACTTACTGCGCAGACATATTTTTCTATGAGGGCATTGCGGCGTATTGACCCTGTCAAGCTGGTAAGGTACAGTTTGGAAACCACCACTGTGTTGCGCAGGCACAAAAGTGAAGTGACACTCCGACAAATGACATGGAAGCGGGCCCTAACTGAACTATATGCCATGGGGGTGCTGGGCTGGTGGCAGCTGACAGATACCGCCATACCGGCTACACCAGGCAAAATAGGCCGAGTCACGTGGCCCTCATCCTGTACCGGACGGACCACGTCGGCGGAGCAAAACGCAGGCGGGTCCCCGGCGCGGCGCGGAACAAGTGGGAAGCCGCCCCGTACAATTTTCGACAAACCACCACGCAACTTCATCGTCACTCCAGTGTCGGCCAGTTTCAATTCCTCATCCACCGATTCGCCGCGGCACACACGCTCTCTCTGGCCTCGCTGATTCCCCTCCCATCCCCGAGTCGGAGCGGCCCCGACGTGGCCTAGTCGACTCCGTCATGGCGTCAAGGAGCCTCAGCCTCGGCTTTCTCAGCGAGGCCATGGCGGCCATCAGGGCCTCGGCGGCACTGGTGAGTCGAATCCTGCTGCCGCGGGCAAACTCGGGCCCGGAGGCTGACATGGACAACCGCAGACGTCCAACTTCATGAACGAAATGGCCGTCTCCACGCCCGTATCGGTGCCCCTTGCCACTGCACAGGTCAAGCGCCCTACACGTGTACGGGTAGAACATCCGGTGCGCGAGGCGCGCTCTTCCGTGGTGCAGTCGTGGAACCCAGGTAGGCGGCCCATCTCTGCCTCTCCCGATTCCGGCTCAGCGCTGACGTGGCACTCCCCAACTTCCAGTCTCGACCGTGCCCGTCACCATCCACAATTTCCCTTCCCTCGAGCCTCTCCACCTCGAGCGGTGGTCAGTCCAACACCTCTACCTCCCCCTCCGGCGCGACATCCTCCACCACGCCGTCGTCTACGAGGGCGACAAGACGCGCCAGGGCTCCGCCTCGTCCAAGACGCGCTGGGAGGTGCACGGCTCCCACCGCAAGATGTACGCGCAAAAGGGCACCGGCCGCGCCCGCCGCGGCGACAAACAGAGCCCGCTGTTGCGTGGCGGCGGCAAGAGCTTCGGACCCCGCCCGCGCGACTTTAGCTCAAAACTCAACCGCAAGGTCTACGACAAGGCCTGGCGCACCGCCCTGAGCCACCGCTACCGCCAGGGCGAGCTCATAATCTGCAGCAACGGCATGGAGCTGAACCCGCCCCGGGACTTTCTCATGGCCGCCGACAAATTGCATCTCAAGGACGGCCTGCGCGAGGCGTACCTCGAGAAATACATGAAGGGTCTCATGGACCGGCTGTGCCTCGGACGGGACTACGGCCGCACCCTGTTTGTCACCAGCAAGCGCCGCGACCTGCTCTTCGAGGCCATGGAGCTAGTGCCGTCCGAGGGTATGGCGCTCGACATGGACGACGTGGACGTCAAGGACCTGCTCCAGACGGGCAGGGTCATCATGGAGCGGGGCGTGCTCGAGGAGCTGCTGCGGCGCCATCAGAGCGACCTCGTGAGCAGCGTCGTCGTCAATGGCCTGGTGCAGCCCGCCCCGGCGATGGGTGAGAGGGTTTTGTGGCAGTAAGCCTGCTCGCTGGGCTTCACCGAGACCAGCAGCTATGTCTTAGATGTCATGTATAGCTATTTGTACCAAATACCTGTCGAAAAGTGCTGGGACCTCTCCAATAGGAGCAAACTGGCCAGACAAATTGCTTGGCCGAGCCAGATATTTGACCAACTCTTGACTTCGCATGTATATTGGGTATCTTGAGAGAAGTTGCAGAGAGGATGGACAGATGCTCGCCCGCCATCATCATCGCCCTCTAAAGTATGCATGTACACGTTTTCCACGCTTCTATTCTTCATCTTACAGAGCGCCCCCCAGCAGCCGGACAATCCACATGGCGACGCGCACGTGAAGCCCGACGCGTCGGTCGTTGCGGGCAAAGTCGTCCCTGGACACGGCGCGCGCGTGGTGCTGGAGCCACTGCTGCTCGTCGGCCAGGCGGCGGCGGAGGCGGTCGCTGCGGGTGACGACGAGGGCGCCGACCTCGAGGTCGAGCGAGTAGCTGCGCTTGGTGTAGTTTGAGCTACCGATGATGCTGAGGGCCGGGTGGGCGTCGCCGGGCATGGTGACCCACAGCCCCTTTGCGTGGTACGACCAGCCGCCGGGCGTGCCGACGGTGCCGCGGCGCCACTCTTTGAGGATGACGCCGTCGTCGCCGCCGCGGCCGGCTCGGCGCACGCCGTCGAGGAAGCGCCGGGCCAGCAGCACGTAGGCGTCCGGCAGCAGGCCCGAGACGCCGGGGGAGCGGTAGAAGCCGTTTGCCTCGGGGGCGGCGGTGATGACGGTGTTGCGCGTCGACGCCGTGGCGAGCAGCAGGCGCGTCAGGGAGACGGCCGGGTTGAAGTAGCCGGCCGTGAAGGTCCACGACGAGCCGCGGTAGGCGGGCGCCGCCAGCATCTCGAGGACGCGCGTGACGGCGGGCAGCTCCGTCGACGTGTTGGGGCGGAGGAGCTGCGACATTTGCCCAAGCACGTACACGCGCGTGTCGGCGAGAGGGCCCGGGGGCGCTCTTTTGCCGCCGCCGCCTCCTTGCCCGTCACCACCATGGGGAGACAGCAGGCCGCACAGCAGGGCCGTCGAGCTCGCGACAAAGGCCTGCGGATCGCGCAGCGGCGAGGGCCCCGCGTTGGCGGCGGGCCAGGCGAGGGTGAAGCCGGCTGCGTCGGTAGTCGAGGGCTCGACGAGGAAGCTGCACGAGCAGACGGCGCTATGGATGCGCCAGAAGTGGTCGGTGACGTGCTTGCAGGAGAAGAGGTGGTAGCGGTCCTGGCGGTTGGTAAAGTAGTCGGTCGACAGGTTGGCCCTGATTATCACGCAAACGTCAGCCTGAGAATTCGAGCTTCGGCCACGATCAACCGTCCAGGCGCAAGACCTCGTACACAAGAGGGAGAGGGGAGCAGAGAGAGAGAGGTGGCATCACACACCCCGACAGGATTATGTCGTCGTCGACGCCGTAGAGCTTCATGTGCTGCAGCCCCCAGCCCTCGTTGATGCGCCGGGGCATGTGCCGCTTGCGAAGGCCCGTCAGGTTGGGCGTGTGATACATGCGCACCTCGACGCGGGCAGCCCCAAACTCGGCGACGAGGGGCGCCAGAAGCGACGCGCACGACGGCTGCGGCGCCTCGCGCGTACCCCGGAGAGCGTCCGTCAGCACGCTAAGCCGCAGCTCCGGGTTGCGCCGCAGAGCGTCGCGCAGCGTCTCGAGCAACTCGCGCTCTGACTTTCCAATGTACAGCGTCGAAAGGAAGATGCGCCGCTTGGCATTGCGTATGCGTTCCTAGTCGTCGGGCGCCCGAGTTGGTCAGTCCCCCCCCCCGTCTTGGCAAGTTGTCTGCATCGTGCCCCCGCAGCAATCGACTCCGCGTCCCGCCCCGGGAGATTTCGTCTCACCTTGAGCGTCTCGTAAAATTCGGCCGGCGTCTGGAGAATTCGGATGCTCTCGTGGTCGACGTCGAAGCTGGGCGCCAGGCGGTCCAGCTCGCTCACAATCGGCGCCAGGGCCCCCGCACCGTTGCCCGGGCTGGCCGGGGCCGAGGCACCTCCGCCGCCTGCCGATGCCGTGTATCGCCTGCAGGTGACGCGCACTGAGGACGAGGCCGACTTGACGCTCGGAACTGGCCTGAGCGCTCTGCCGACGGCGGCGCAGGTCAGAGTGCAGCGCCGGGCGAGCATCTCGCCAAGTCCCCTTGATAACCTCGATTCCTTTCGTGCCTCCCTTGTCTGGATCCGACGGCTACCGGCTCTGCGTCTCGAGGCTGCTGTCGCAGAGCATGGCGGGATTTTTGGACGATGGGTGTCGGGGGGGATTGCTTGCTCTTGTACGAAATGAATTACTTCTTAAGGAAGCTAAGGTAGAGCTTGAAGTTGGCTGCGTGACCGGCATATCGATAGCTCTCCCGCTGCCGAGGAATTGCCGGCTCTCTGTTCCCTCGCTCAATCAGTCTTGAACCACCACCTCTCGCGTCATTGCCAGCTCGTTAAGCCGAGTTGCCTCACCGTCGCCCGCCATGTCGACCATTTCGCGGACGCTGAACAACCTGCGGAAGGTCGGGATCAAGGTACGCCATCGACACCGCCGCCCTGCATCGCCCGGAGGCGCCTCGCTAACCGTCTCCTTTCCCCCTCCAACAGGATTACTTTCGACAGATGCTGGTACGTGATCGCTTGCCTCCTCAGCCGCTACCGTGACCGCGGACACGACGGTATGAATAGCAGCCTTGGCTGACCGCCAATGCGCCGTCCTTCAGTATATCGGTACGTGAGAAAACAACCCCCGTCAATGCCGACGACACCCGCCCATCGAACGCCTCCAGAACCAAGCTGCTGGGACTGACGCGCCCTGCTCACAGGCGACACCAAGCACGGCCGGCTCGTGGGACAGGACCGTGCGGGCAACAAGTTTTTCGAGAACAACGAGGAGCTGCCTCTGCGCACGCGCTGGGTCGAGTTCTCCCAGCACGACTATGACGCCGCCCAGATAGAGCCCGGCTGGCACGCCTGGATGAGCTACATGGTCGACCGCCCGCCCGCCGAGGACCCCCTTCTCGTCACCGGCACCCGCCCCTTTGAGAAGCCCGTCGCCATCCCAAACTACACCCAGACGCGCGGCGCCTTCAAGACGTATAGCACGTGAGTCTCCAGGCTGACAAGGACAGACAGGGGCATGCCGAGACCCCCATGCTTGACTGCCATGCTAACCCAGGATTTCGTGCAGGACAAAGCCCAAGATCAAGGCGTGGGAGCCCGTGGCTGCCCAGCGGACATGAAGAGTTCTTTACCGACAGAAAGGAGGGAATATCCGGGGGCCGTGGTGCTCCGCTGTACATATGAAGGCTTGATTACGGGAAGTAGAGTGTCTTTTTCTCTCCATCTGCCAGCAGCATTGTCCGACCGCATTGAATGTGTGCGCAACCCCTCTGCCTGTGCTCCCTGTCCTGGCACTTCGTCAGACATCGGATCACTACGTCTGCGTATATTGGTTATATTGCGGGCCCTTAGATATATCGGCCAAAGCCGCATGCCGAAGAAAAGTCCCCAAGACCAGATGCACCCAACTCATCTAATGCGCGGCCGCAACTCGCCAAATGGCCAGCTTTGTCATGGTCCTCTCTCAAGCAGATGCAACGCTCGTGTGAAGGCAATCGACAATGCTATGTTTCAATGCTAAATTCTACTGCAGCTTTGCCTCCACCGCAGTCTTCATCGCTGTGCGGCCGTTAGCAAGTCGTGATTGAAACTCCACCCCCTCGTTTACAAAGACATACCTTCGCAACTCGTTCGCGCGTCTCCAAAAAGCATTCGGGCGTTTGGCATGTAAAACATGGGGTTCGGCACGTCGGCTGCGCTCAGGTCAGAAATCATCACTCTTCACCCGCACGGGGAGGAAGCATCCGCCTACCGTAGCCGCTCGCCAGACTCCGCTTCATGACGACGACCTGCTTGCTCTTCCAGGCGTGCAGCACCGGCATGCCCTCGATCGCGCTCCCCTTTTCCAGCGCAATCGGGTTGACGGTGTCGTTGGCGCCAATCACCACCGTCAGGTCCGTATCCGGAAAGTCGTCGTTGATCTCGTCCATCTCGAGGACAATGTCGTACGGCACGCTGGCCTCGGCTAGGAGCACGTTGCACTGGCCCGGCATGCGGCCGGCGACGGGGTGGATGGCGAACCGCACCCTGATGCCCCTGGACCGCAGCAGCGACACGATGCTCGAGATGGCGTACTGCGCCTTGGCCACAGCCATTCCGTAGCCCACGACGAGAATGACGGATTCGGCGCTGAGCAGGGCCTCGGCCAGGTCCTCGACCGACGTCTGCGTCACCTGGCCCTCGGGCTTGTACTCCTGGACGGCCGTGGGAGTCGACAGGCCGCCAAAGAGCACGTTTGTCAGCGACCGGTTCATAGCGACGCACATAATGTACGACAGGATGGAGCCGGAAACTCCAATCAGGGCCCCCACCGACGTGAGGAGCGGGTTATCGAGCATAAAGCCTTCGGCGACGAGTGCAAATCCGCTGTAGGCGTTCAAGACGGTGATTACGACGGCTGTCCATTGTTAGATACAGTTCATCTCTCGGCTTCGAGGCACGGGCTCCGGGCTTACGCATGTCTGCTCCTCCAATGGCAGCGGTGGTGGTATACCCCTTGGTGAAGCTCAGCGCCGTGTTGGCCGCCAACGCCGCGGCGGCAATCATGGGGCTGCCCGGGGCCATGGTAATGAAGGCTCCCATGGTGGCGGCGTTGGAAGCCAGCAAGCCCGCGTTGATGACATGTCGCCCCGGCAGGATCTTGGGGCGGGAGGACACGCGGCCGGCGAGTTTGAGGAAGGCAACGATGGATCCCGTAAACGTGATGCCACCTCGTCCGTGTCAGCAGTTGTCGCAACTCAAGATTCTGCGCCGACACCCGCGGACAGCGTCTCGGGCGAGCAAAGAGAGCCACCTACCGACTACGACACCGAGGTAGGCCGTGACCATGTGTAACGTCGACAGGTCCGAGATATGCGCCATGACGCTTCCGATGCTGGTCAGGACAGCCGCCAGACCGACGACGGAGTGCAAGGCGGCCACGGTCTGTGGGAGGTCGGTTGGCGTGATGCGCTTGCCAATCAGGAGCCCTGCAACTCGTCAGTGTCCATCCTGGATCCGCCCTTTTCGCAAGCAAGCCATACCTGCCACTGCTCCGATGGTTGCAAGGCCACCGAACTGAGCAAGAACCTCGGGAGAGAAGCCGGCCGCCAGCAGACTTGCCAGGACGCCGGTGCCAACGCCGAACATGCCCAGCATGTTACCCATCCGCGCCGTGGTCTGCGACGCCAGACCAGAAATAGATCCAATGCAGAGAACTGTACTGGCGAGGTAGCCTGCCTGCACAAGGCCAGCAGTGCCAGTCGCGGCGGCCGCGATGAATCCGCCGCCAAACAAGACGGCGGGGATGCCATACAGCCACGGGTACTCGGGGGGGTCAGTCGGTCCTGCGAGCTGTCAGCATTTCCAATACCGTCGGGACCTCGGCTCAAATCTCACGCTTAAACATGTCGAGCATTCTCTTTGTAATGACGAAACCGCCGCCGACATTGACAAAAGCCAACAAGACGCTCACGGCCCCGAACATCTGCGGGATAGTTTCCGGCAGGTAACCGCCGCCGAGGACAAAGAGCCCTCCGACGCCGACCATGCCGGAGATTGCGTTTGTGACGCTCATCAGAGGGGAGTGCAAGGCGGGGACCACGCCCCAGACGACGCGGTATCCAATCAAGCTGGCGAGCGCAAAGGTAAAAGCATTGGACATGAAGAGTGGCCCGGTGAACTTGCCCAGGGCCAGGACGCTGCCCAGGCCGGTCGTGACGGCTGCCACCTCGCGAGACTTTTTCTGCCAAGGGGTGAGAGCCACGGGCTTGGGGGCGACCTCGCCAGCGGCTGGCTTTGCAGGGGCAGGAGGCGGCGTCGGGCGAGGAGCGGGAGGGACGATATTTCCGTCTTGCGTGACAATGGAGCCGCGCACAACCTCGTCGGATAGATCAATGCCAAACTCTTTCTCCCTGGGGGCCATGGAGAGAAGGAACTTTGTGATGTTGTTGGAGTAGAGGGTCGACGATTGCGTGGGCAGTCGAGACGGCAGATCGGTATATCCTTGAAGCTACCGTGAGCCTCGATGTTGGAGAGCATCAGGTTTGGGGGTGCTTACCAATGACCTTGACGTCGTTGTAAACGGCCAGCTCGCCCTTTTTGGTCGCCTCGCAGTTGCCGCCGGCCTCGGCGGCCAGGTCGACGATGACGCTGCCGGGCTTCATGACGTCGAGCATGTCCATCTTGATGAGCTTGGGGGCGGGCTTGCCAGGAATGAGGGCCGTGGTGATGATTATATCGACTTCTTTGGCCTGGTCCTTGAACAGCTTCATCTCGGCTTCGATGAACTCCTTGCTCATTTCCTTGGCGTAGCCTCCAGCGCCGGAGCCATCCTCCTGGACATGGACCTCGATGAACTCTGCGCCCAGCGACTGGACCTGTTCCCGCGCGGCGGATCGCGTGTCGAAGCCGCGGACAATGGCACCCATGCGGCGAGCCGTGGCAATGGCGCTCAGGCCGGCGACGCCAGCACCGATGACGAGCACCTTGCAGGGGGGGATCTTGCCGGCGGCCGTGACTTGGCCGGTGAGAAACCTGCCAAAGACGTTGGAGGCCTCGAGGACGGCCTTGTAGCCGGCAATGTTTGCCATGCTGCTCAGGGCGTCAAAGACCTGGGCGCGCGAGATGCGGGGGATCATGTCCATGGCAAAGGACGTGGCCTGTTTCTCGGCGATGCGTCGCACGAGGTCCTTGTTCTGGGCGGGCTGCAGAAAGGAGATGACGGTCTGGTGGTTCTGGATCAAGGTGACCTCATCGACGGACGGGCCGCGCACTTTGAGCACGACGTGAGATTGGGACCAGACAGCGGCAGCGTCGTCTACCAGAGTGGCGCCAGCCTGTTGATAGGCCTCATTGGGAAAGTCGGCAGCTGCGCCGGCGCCGCGCTGGACGAGGACTTTGGCAAAGCCCTTTTTGAGCAAGAGGGCCACGTTGGCGGGGGTCAGGGCGACACGGCGCTCGCCGGGGAAGATTTCACTGGGGACGCCGACGGAGAGGTCGCGGTAGGGGGTCGTGGGCGGCACCTGGGCTGTCGAGTACAGCTGGAGCGGAGAGGTGACGGGCGAGGCATGGCGAAGCCGGGCACGAGGTCTCGGGGCGGCGGCGGGCACGAGGCACTGCAGCCTCGAGCTCAGAAGCGGCAGGGAGCTTTTTGTAGCTAAGACGGTCAGCGGTCGGGTGCGTTTGGCACCGAACCATGGCAGACGAGAGCACCTTGAAGACGGCGGCAGGCCAGAGACGAGGGCGAGAAGCAGAGGCGGGGAGCGAGCGAGCGCACGAGGTTGGAAGCCATGGCGAGGAGGAGCTCAGCCCGTCATGAGGGCCAGGCCAGTTCAGCTCGGAGGAGCATGCGCGCGAGTGCAGAGGTCGGCTTCGTGGAAGGGCGACGAGGCAGACCCCGACGATGGGGAGCGAAGTCTGGGCGAGGAGGGCTCGACGACGAGTGGGGGAGGAGGAGGAGGAGGAGGAGGAGGAGGAGGAGGAGGAAGAGAAGGCGGAGGGGAGGAAGTGGGGAGATGCGGGGGAATCAATCACCAGAGACGGGCCGTCGTGGGGGTTTCATGGCCATCCATCGCGGCACCGATTCCCCGCTCCCACTGTCGGCCGAGCGGCGGTTCAGGGTGCTAAAGAGTGCTGAAGAGTGCTGGGAACTGCTGAGGACTGCTGAAGAGCGCTGAAGAGCCGGCTTGGCGCGCCATGCAAGCCCCCCTGCCACCCATGTCTCACCACGTCAGGAGGGGAGATGACTCGAGTTGATGCTACTACTAACTAATTAGTACGGATACCGCGTACTGCCTACTCACTAAAAGACTGGCAACAGGCTCCATCACCCTCTCTCACCTCTCAGGAATGACAGGTTTAGTTGCGGCCCCCGATGGGTTAGGTGCAGTGGGTTAGGTACCTTTACAGTGGGTTGGGGTGCTTTTCTCGAGGGTTGCAGTTCAGGCCGTTGCTGGCTGCAGGCCGCTCACTCTGGCCAAAGTAGGGAGGTGCCGTCAACTATCCGTAAGTTACATGGTCCACGTTACGCCCGCCTTCTCCTGCCTACCTCGGGCTAGGGCTGTAATTACTCCGTACAGAGCCCCCGCGATGCCGCCGACCAGCTCCTCCAGACCAATGAAGGCGCCGTTGGCGCCTGAATGGACACTGGAGTGGGGCTCTGACGCCCTGGAGGGTGGGGAGGTGGGTAGGGGCTCTTGGTGCTGTCGTTTTGGCGGCGCATCAATCCACGTGGGGGCCAGAGCCTTACTTGCCTCAATGCGTAGTCAGCAAGCTCATTCTTTGTGCAAGTAGGTGCCACGTACAGTACTAGTACTGCATTGTATCTCTTTATGCACAATATGCCACCGCCAACGCCCAATGCCGATGGCCACCCTCCTTAGGCGAGGACTTGGGCGAGGAAACACCAAAAATCTAACCCAAGACGCACTGCCTACTTCAAGAAACCCCTTCTTTGCCAAGGTCAAATCCCGCTCGACAAGAGATCAATTTCGTTCTTTATCCTCGCTTGGCCTTGACCTGTCATTTGGTGCCGCCTTTCGATTCGTCAACCTAGCCTCATGTAAGTCGCCGGCTTTAATTCGCTCTCTGAGCTAAGCAAAAGATTCTATACAGCGGATACCAGAGTAGCCGATTGCTCGTAGACCCAGTCTATTACATGTATTCGAAAACCCGCCTGGAGAGGAAGCCAAGTCCAGATGGCCCAAACGTCCGCTGACCGCCCTAAACGGCAAAGGGAAACCCAAATGGTAAATCGTAGGCGAGGCATCAAGAGTCAACGCCTGCGTTTGAAACTTGTCGCGAATCGTGCACGGATTTTGCAGCTCTCGGAGATACCCCTTGGCAAGAGGAGCTATAGGAGAAGCTAAGGGGCGGTGTAAGAAGGAGAAAGGAGGCGCCGAGAGCTAAAACGGACTGCAGGGAGCCAAGAGGTGGCGATGGCTTCCCATGAAAGTAGCGAGAGAGAAGACGGGACCGCCGGCAACGGCTAGAAAGAAGAGGCAAAAAGGCCAGTTATCTATCATACATCGAGATCTCGGCTGTAAAGAGTTTCCTACCTTGTTACTAAAGCAATGGAGATATAGAGATAGGCGTTCGATAGAGGAACGGAAGGGAATATGAACATGCAACAATTAACTTTCTGCCACTACTATTGCCCTCTAAAGAATTAAACAACTTTTCCCTGCCTGTCTGACGACTTACCATTAATTTCCCCTTCGTGCATTTTATATGCACTCTTTGCATCTCTCTTCGAGAGAACCACATTCGAGAGAGAAATACACGTCGAAAATATTTTCTCGACCCCCTCGGACGATCCGGCGCGATGTAAAAGCTTGCGCAGCGGTACGCCATTGTACGAACAGTTGGACACAACTCGGCCCATGTGCCGCATCATCAGGCGCGCAGCATGTTGAAGGACATCCAAGATGGCTTCAAGGTCCATCACATGCCGACTTTGAATTTACAGACACAGCCCCGACCTGCGCTATTTCGGCCCGGGGGGCGCCAGGGCTCCTTCTAGACTGGTTCAAGTTCACTCGCGTAGGTTGGGTACATCCATCAGACGGTTGTAGAGATGCGTCCACTCGGCATGTACGTACAATTTGCTGGTTTGCTTGGGTGATAATCTTTGTTCCCTACTTTGGTAGGCCAGTGAGGTTAATCGTAAAATGAAAATAGATAGGGCACGCCTGGTTGACGCCGGTTAGCAGACGTGGCATGACGCCTCCTATCGGCCTCTTTCTTTGACTTCCACCCGGCTTCCATGTATTTTACTTGGCTCTTTTCATGTTGGTTAGTAGCGTCAAGCAATTCCTCGGCTCAGTGGCTATCCGGCTTGGCTCGTAGGCGACTAAGTGTAAGCTTATGACGACCTATCGACTCTAGAGATGCAGCCAGGCGTCACGGCGCGATTCTGCCATCTATATCACGACGGTGTTGCTGCTGCTTCTAGACACGGTCAAACCCAAAAACTCTCAACTCCATTGGCTGGCTTGCACACCGAAGCCATCATTGTCGGAGCCCCGTGGAAACAAGCTTACAAGGTATCTCGAAGGCGCGGCCGACCATTTCCGGTTCGCCATCAACTCGTACGAGAACGTCATCTGCTATAACATCATCTTCGACAAACTTCCGCGGCAACTACCAGTCCCCGGCCATGACTGCCACCCACATCCACGAGGCACCGACCGGCAAGTCAGGGCCCCCAGGGTTAATCGCAAACCTGAGCCCCTGAGTTTTCTAATTGAAATGCAAATGTGCTCGGAAAAGACGCTAGCGATCCGTTCGCAGAATCGCTCTCCCCAACCCCGGGGGCCAGGGGGCTGGATGTGGGCTAGCTACGGCTGTGTCAAGGGACCCTTCCTCATTGGGTTCATGGCCAGCGGAGAGGACACTGGGGCGGGCTGCCACATCCGGAAGATTGAGAAGAACCCGGCGGCCTTTTTGGCCGACGTCCACTCGAGCAAGGCGGTTCCCGGGGCAGCCCGCGGGCAGCTTAGCAGGAAGTGACGTTGGGAGTTTTATGACAAAACGACATGAAGCAGCGGGTGACTGTTTCGTTTTGTTTCGTGCATGCTTTGATAAATATAAGGAGATAATATCTTTGTATATAAATGGAGCGTTCTGTACCTACCAACTGCTCCAACTCCTTTAAATGGGGGTTCGCTGCAATGAAGGGGATTCTCATAGAGTAAAGAACGTAAATGTGTGTGGCTAGTGAGACCACAATACTGGTCGGTTGGCATTCTCATCGCGCTTATACGTAGAAAAGACAAGCCACGGCATGGATTTCGAGCTGGATGGGACACAACGTGGCTTCATCTCGGGATTCATGCAACGAGGGACTACACGGCCTTTCGTGAAAGTCAATTCAAGGTACGAAGTACATATCATACGCTGGATGAAGCTGGTTGCTGCCTTCAAAGCACTTGATATGTCTGGTCTTCAACAGGCGCTCGCTTCAGGCACTCACCTGGCGCTGCTATCAGGATAACTGATTCAATTCTCTCGCGACGGCTAACGGGGTATGCATTCTCTCCCCCAGCCACCAAAGCCTCTCTCTGCCTTGGATGCAGCACCAGACCCCGACCTTGGGCGACCAGAGCCTCGACTAAGAGCGCCATCCTCTGGTCCAACATTGCAGCTCCCCATCCATAAGAGAGAAAGGGATCAGACTCGGCCAAGCGGCCAACTCAGACAAGAAACACCTTCACTTGCCACACGGCCCGGCGTGGCATGGCGATTCGCACCGGCCACGGAAGTCGGGCTCGATAACCAAGCACTTGTCGCAGCCGCAGAGCAGGTGCAGCTCGTTGCCGACGCCCTGGTTCGCGTCGTTGCAGAGGCACAGGTACAGCGCCGACTTGACGTCGGTGCCGGGGGTTCCGCCGCTGCAGGGCGCGTTGGGTGTCTTGCAGTAGGCCTCGGCCAGCTGCTTCTGGTTCCACGGCATCTCTAGAGCCCAGTTGTGTTGTCAGACGGGAGCAGACGAGGCTTGAAACGTGGCCATGACCAGAAGATGAGAAAGGCGGGAAGAAGATAAGGGGAAGCGTACTCATCTTCATGAGCACCGAGGCGCAGTAGGTGTAGCCGCACTCGCAGATGGGCCCCGAGGGCTTTGGCGGCGCAGGCGCTTGGTCGGGCGACAAGATCGTAGCAACAGACACGGGGGACAGGGGTGGCGGCAGTGATGCCGGGGTGATAACCTGGGGCTGGGCGAGGGCCAAGGCGGCGAGGGCGATGAGCAGCGAGTTCATCTTGACCATATAAGCAGCGAGGGCGGTCGAAAGCAAGGGACGCGATGACAGAGCTGCAAAGGCCTTTATCCGTCTCGGCAAGGAGAGGCGGAGCGGCGTGGCAGTGCTTTTACTTTTATACTCGGCGGCTCGACTCTGGACTTGGGAGATGTATGCTGATGGACGAAAGGAAGTCCCGTCTGCAAACATTCAACGGTATCACCTGTGCTCGAGGCGCACGAGCTTGCTACCAGACTGTGGCTCGGCCAAACCGAAGTCATGCCACCAGGGAACAGGGTCCGCGTCAGCCCACTGTCACGGGAGACAGGAAATTGCGGCGATGGCCATTTTGGCCTTGCAGTGTGGAATCGTGGACAGGATCTTGGTCTTGGAGGGCTGCAACAGAACGGTATGCCGTGTTATCGGAGTCGGCCACCGCACATGGCAAGGTGCTGGCCATGACGCCCGGCCAGGCTCGAACTTGGTTCGTCTTTGGTCGTTGGTCAACCCATGCAGCTCTAGCCTTGTGGGGATTTGCACGTTTTCGAAACGAATCTTTCCGTTGCCTCTGCCACGCCGAGTACAAGCTATTATCAACGATTCGACAGCTTCATCCAGGCAAGGGATTTCTTCAGCATCTCACGAGTTCAGGCTCCGAGATTGAGGCGATCCGTGCTGGCATGGCGTAGGACAGGACTTGCAAGGCTTGACTTGGACAAACTGAGGCAATTTGGTAATTAGTGACGATGCCAGCCATGCTTACAAATCGTGTTCACGCTCCTACCTAGCTTATGTACCCCGTAATTACGGCCACGCTAGCCTGCAATGGCCAAGACACCTCTTCTCCCTTTCTGTGGAGCTCCGCGGCTCTAGCTGCCTGCTGCCCCTCTAGAAGCAGCAGCTTTTCCCTCCCTAATAATTGCGACGACGACCCGGCACCGCCAAGCTCCTCTACCACGCCGTTCCTTGCTCTTCCGCCCGCAGGCCTCGCCCTAAGACGCACAGGCGGGACGAGATATAGCGACAACGAAATGGCAGAGGCACCGGCCCATGACGAGCGCGTCATCAACGTGGGCACGCGCAAGTCGCCGCTGGCCCTCGCACAGACGCAAATCGTCGTCGAGGCCCTCGAGGCCCTCTTCCCGACGCATCGCTTCCCCATCCACAGCATGACGACGACGGGCGACCGCGACCAGACCACGGCCCTGTACAACTTTGGCGGCAAGGGCCTGTGGACCTCGCAGCTCGAGGACCAGCTCGTCGCCGGCCACCTCGACCTCGTCGTCCACTCCCTCAAGGACATGCCCACCACCCTGCCCGCTGGCTGCGTCCTCGGCTGCGTCACCAAGCGCGACGACCCCCGCGACACCCTCGTCATCAAAAAGGCCCTCGCCGACAAGCACGGCTGGACGCGCCTCGATGACCTGCCCGCCGGCTCCGTCATCGGCACCAGCAGCGTGCGCCGCATCGCCCAGCTCGCCCGCCGCCACCCGCGCCTGCGCTTCAAGGACGTCCGCGGAAACATCCAGACGCGCCTCCGCAAGCTCGACGATGACCCGGACATGGCCGCCATTGTCCTCGCCGCCGCCGGCCTGCAGCGCATGGACCTGGGCCACCACATCTCGCAGTACCTCGACATGGACAACGGCGGCATCCTCCACGCCGTCGGCCAGGGCGCCCTGGGCGTCGAGTGCCGCGACGGCGACGAGCGCGTGCTGCGCGCCCTGGCGCGCCTGCAGGACCCCGACGCCGCCCTCGCCTGCGCCGCCGAGAGGAGCCTGATGCGCACCCTCGAGGGCGGCTGTAGCGTGCCCATTGGCGTCGAGACGCGCTGGGTCGACGGCAAGCTGCGGCTACGCGCCACGGTCGTGTCGACCGCGGGCACAGAGGCCGTCGACGCCGACGTGACCGAGTCAATTACCACGTCCGAGGACGCCGAAGAGCTTGGCAAGCGCGTGGCGCTCGATCTCGTACGCCGGGGGGCCGACAAGATTCTAGACTCCATCAACGCCACACGGCCGGCGCCAGAAACGACCGAGTAGCCGCGAGCTCGGCAATGAACACACAGGGTGGCCAAGGCATGTCATTGTGCCCTGTGGATCAGGGTGGACGTAGCAGCGAAAGAGAGCAAAAATGGGCACGAGACACGACCATCTAGAGGCTGTCACAAGCCACCAACAGACACTACGGAGCGCAGTCGAACTGCCGCCCAGAACACTGCATCCATGTTCAAGAAGATGCTACGTATGGTACACATGTTGCCCGCCGCGCCCCGTCGCCAGGTTGAACTGACACGCCCCTGCCGCCTTGCATTGAGCGCACAACCCGAGGGTGGTGAAAAGAGGGAATTCATCAAGCATCTATCCCGCCGCCGCCCATCCGAGCCTCGCATTTTAATGTGAATTAAGAAGAAACGCAGTGTATCTTACTCGGCAGTAAATGCCTCGTACTCCTTTGCATCCATGAGCTCGTCAAACTGCTCGGCGCCCTTTTCATCCACCTCGATTTTGGCGATCCAGCCACCGCCGTGGCTATCGTCCTCGGCGACCGAGTTGATGGTTGAGGGCTTCTCCTCAAGCAACACGTTTGCCTGGCTAACCTTGCAGCGGATGGGCGAGTTGATGTCGCTGGCGCTCTTGACCGACTCGACGGCGCCGAGGCTGTCGCCCTGCTCGATCCAGCCGCCGGCCTCGGGCAGCTCGACGTAGACAACGTCACCGAGCTGCTCGGCGGCGTACTCGGATATGCCGACGATTCCCGTCTTGCGGTCGGCCGAGAGGTCGACCCATTCGTGGTCCTTCGTGTACTTGCGCGCCAGGCCTGCAGGCGAGAATGTGAGAGTCAGCGGTGAACGAACACGAGGCTATGATGGTGGCCGTTGCGACGGTGTCTTCGAGTATTGCCGACGGCCTCGAGACACGCCTGAATGGGACAGAGGAGAATGTAAGGGATGAGAATCGGGGAAAGCGCGAGCGTACCCATCCTCGTGGTCGAGAAGCTCCGGACGGGCAAACGGGTGGCAACGGGAGTGGCACGGGGCGCAGCAGCAGCAGCCAGGCGGAAGACGGCGGGCGGGGCGCCGGTGCGCAGGCAGCGAGCAATCGAGGCCATGGTAGCGGGATCCGAGAGACGGCGGTGTCAAGACGGGCGAGCTGTGCGAGGTTGGGCGGAGAGGAAGGAAAAAAACTGGTGATGTGCAAGTGGTGCGAGACGGACCTCGTCCCGCGCTGCGGCGTCGGTTGGGTGTGGATAAGATTAGGTACGAGAAATGGGGCGACAGCCTGCCGAGGCGGCTACTTACTTACCCCGTTCGGGTGCCGGCGACTTTTGGGAGGCTTAGCTTAGTCAGCCGTCGCCGGCCTCGGACCGCGCCTCCATCGAGAGAGGGAGCTCTTAGGGAAGTATCCGTAAAGGCGCGCCAATGCAGTCTGGTTGGCGGTGTTGAGCTCCATGCATCCCAACGTGCACGTTGGAGTAGTCGGCGTGGCTAAGAGTATTCTGGTCCAGGATATGCTCATGGTCTTGTCTGAGGTTGCCCAAGGTTTACTTCTACCGGCGGTTCGTGACAAGACGCCTCTCTTAATGAACCGAGGCCCTCTGTCTCTCGTTTCATGGCGAACAGCCTCGGTTCAGGTTCTCACCCTTCGACACTCAGCTTCTTGGCGCCATGAGGCTCGCGTCAGCTTCAGGGCCGTCGCGGCGAGTGCAGATTCAACAGCGTGCCTGGAGTCAGTGCCGAGGCGAGGTTTGTCCACAGCGGCTCCAATCAATTGCGACATGCGATTGCCCGAGCGGCACGGGCTTCGTCTGCCAATTGCAGACAATCTGCAACGTCGCCAGGCGCATCGGACGAACTGAGGACCATTTGCAACGGCGAATTGGGCCCACAGTCAGCCGTAACCGTGGCAGCTGAGAAAGTGAAACAGCGTCCTCACGTGCCTTGGGCGCGGCTCGCTGGAAGTTCCGGCCCCCGCCTGGGGATGAGGTAACGAGGGCTCGGTACCTGGACCGCATGCCCACAGCTGAGGGTACCAGGGTCCGACGAAAAGATACTCGAGAGCAGGTTCTTCTGGATCACGGAGCACACTCCATCGCCGATTCCGTTTGCTTTATCGTACCTCGCCCACCATCTTCACGGCAAAAAGGTACACGCTCCTTGGCTTCGTCAGCTATCCCAGCAGCTGCGTGGTACCTCGCTGCATGTACCCGTCTCCCAGCTCCCGTAGCCCCCTTTGCTCTCGCTCTCTCAGCCCGGCTTCACTTCATTCCACCTTGTTGGCTGGACTCGACCTCGCCTCGTCCCATATCCCCATCCAGCCAGCATTGCTTTCATCTTGGCTTCTCGCCGCCCTCCGACTTGGACTCGCCATCAGCCCGGCGCGCGTCTCCCCTCTTCCATCGTCCCTCGGCCTCGGTGGGGCTTTTGATCAGCGTGCACTCTTCCGCCGCTGCCCGCTGCTCAAGGTATCAACGACGCTGCTCTTCTCGATGCATCCGTCCGCCAGCTGAAGCCTTATCTGGCCCTCGCCTTTCCCCTCCCCTCTATTGATCCAGGCCAGGCACGTTTGTCGTGCTCCTCCGCCATGGATCCACCCACCGAGCCAGCGGCAACACCCGACCAACTCGACGACGGTGTCGAAAACATGGAGATGGATCAGCAGCAGCAACCGCCCGACAAACAAGCCCTCCCGCCGCCACATTCGTTGCACGACAGCCTCGACGATACCCTCGGCGGCATCGAGGGCTCCCCGCATGTGGCCTCGAGCAGCAACGGCTATCACCACGGCCAGCCTCAGCCCCTCGACCCGGCCGCGCCAAACAGCCCCCGCTATGATGACGACCACGCCAGCCGCCACACGCCGCCCGTCTCTGGCGCCCACTCCATCTCGAGGCCCGGCAGCCAAATGTCGAACCCCTCGAGCTCAAACCCCTTTCACCAGGCCCACGGCAGCGACCAAGGCGGCCAGGCCTCGAGCGAACCCCCCAACGGCCGCAACCACGTCGTCATAAAGGTCGGCATGGTGGGCGATGCCCAGATCGGCAAGACTTCTCTCATGGTCAAGTACGTCGAGGGCAGCTGGGACGAGGACTACATCCAGACGCTGGGCGTCAACTTTATGGAAAAGACGATATCCATCCGCAACACGGAAATTACCTTTTCCATCTGGGACCTGGGCGGCCAGCGCGAGTTTGTCAACATGCTGCCCCTGGTCTGCAACGACGCCGTCGCCATCCTCTTCATGTTTGACTTGACGCGGAAGAGCACCCTCAACAGCATCAAGGAGTGGTACCGCCAGGGCCGAGGCTTCAACAAGACGGCCATTCCCATCCTCGTCGGCACAAAGTACGACCACTTTGTCAACTTTCCCATCCAGGACCAGGAGGAGATTTCAAACCAGGTAGGCCAGCCAATGACGTGGGCAGAAAAGAGCTATGCTGACAAACCTAGGCGAGACGGTTCGCCAAGGCCATGAGGGCGTCTCTGATCTTCTCGAGCACTAGCCATAGCATCAATGTGCAAAAGGTCGTCTCAAGTCGAGTGGACGTCACCGCGTTGTATTCAGGCACTAACAAGACCAGTGCAGATCTTCAAGATTGTCCTATCGAAAGCGTTTGATCTCAAGTGCACGATACCCGAGATCGAAAACGTCGGCGAGCCGCTGCTGCTGTACCAAAACGTCTGACCAAGTCGCCGGTCTTCTATTTTCGAAGGCTGGCTACGGTGACTGCTCGCCATCTGGCCGACCCTCGGGCATATGGCTGGAGACTGGAGAGAGGGCGCTGCACAATCACTCGACTGCGAGCTCCAGAAAACGGGCCGGATCTGACTAGGGCGTCGGCATCTCGCCGGCAGACATGACGGCGCCGGGGCGTGGCCGGCGAGGGTTCTGGTTTAGCATCTATCACGTGCACGATGCCATGTTGAAGCTCTTTGTAACCCTACCGATGACGCACATTTGGGTTTTCCTTTGTTACTTACCACACCGCGCATGGCCCAACTTGCCCCTCCTTCAAGTTGGTCGCGGTTACCGGCACCTGGGCATGTTATGCTAATAGAGGAATACGGCGGGAGACTGGACGGCTGCCAGCAGCGGGACGACTGGGATGATGACGTCGGGAGCCCTTGGCGGCAACCGATTGTGGCTTGCGGGACGGAAGATGGAGCTGCCTGGCACGGGGCGGGGAGCAGCGCCCGTTGTTTGGATCAGGGCGGTGGTCCGGAGGGAAGCTCTGCCTGTCAAGAGAAAGCCTTGTGATGAGAGGTGGTGAAGATGATTGGAGGGCAACGGTTGCGCGAGGACGCGGGAGACGCGGGAGGCGTGGTCTACGGACAGCCTCGCAACGGGGAAGAATCAGCGGTGTCGGCGAGACTTGGCGTTGGCCGCGCACCTGGCCACGCTCGTGTCTGTAGCAAAAGCACGGAAGAAGAAGACTGTTGTCACGGTTGGGTGCTGGGTGACGGAGGCCACGAGTGACGTGGGGAGCCGAGATTGCAGACGTGGGAGATGCTCAACCAGGCTCGGCGTAGGACGCTGTTTCCGTCTCGCTTGTTCACGGTGATGGGTGACGCAAAAGAGCCACGACGGCGGAACCGGAACCGGCCCCTCCTCTCCGTCGACGCTCCGAGTCTGTCTTGTCGTACTCCGCACCATGTCCTCCATCTGACACAACCCCGTCACGGCCACAGACCAGGCATGTACACAGAGACATGCGTGCCTCGGCACCTTGTTAGCCAGGCCAGGCAGGCATGGGTACTGGCACACATTGCATACGTCAATGCACAACCCTGCCTCCCTTGTTGCGCGCGCCCTAGGCTGGCGCCCCTCCCGCCGCGCTCAGGGGAGAGAGGCAGTGGTGGGCATGCCGAGACCCGGAGGGCCGAGGGGCGCGGCCGGGGAAAAGAAAGCAAACGAGACGAAAGGAAACGAAGCAGTCGGTCACGGTGCTCTGTGGATTGGGGAGGGCGGAGGATGAGGGAGTGAGAGTTGAGAGTGAGATTGAGTTCTTGGCTTCAGTGCCCGGTGAGAGAGGGCGACGCCGTGGAGCTGCTGTCCGGGGACGGACATGCCATTAATAGACGCCGCATTCGCATTGACCCGTCCGTCGCCGACGCCGATCCATAATCGCATATACGTACAGTACGTACACACGTCCCCTCGGGGCATCATGGCAAGGACACACGGCACATGTGCATGCACAAATCCGATCCCACCGAGACACGTGCATACAGTGCAGACGCGAGCGAGCATGCACAGTCCCACACAAGGCACGACGGGTGGAGCAGATAACCGTTCTGTCGCACAAGGCAAGTCGCAAAGTGCACTTCATCCCGACCCGCCTATCCCTTAGGTGGTACTACGGAGTACGTACTAGTGACTACAAAGTACAGTACATCAAGCACCTGATAACGCCCGTAGTATGTATCCGTACAGCAGGTCTGTAGGTACTACCCACCACCAGGCAGCACTTCAACATGTTTCTCTCTCCCTGCCACGCCTGCACAAGCCTTTCCCCCTTTCTCCCCAAGGCGTATTCGTATCGCCCAAGGACTGCCGGGCAGGTCAATCAATGGTCAATCGATGGATATATGCGACACGGTATATGACAAATGTGCCGTTTCGCCACCGAGTCCATAGACAATGCGTCTGTTTTCCCCGTCCAATAGCTAGATTGCATCCGTTGGCCGCGCCATGCAAGAAACAGGCGGCGCGCGTCGTGTGGCGCGCTCAGCCTCCCCGCCGGCCCTTGCCACGCCCACGAGAGTTTATGAACAAAGAAAAGGAAAAAAACACCCTCTCAACATAATCCATGGGCCGCGCTTACGCAGGAACCGCACGCCCTCGGCCCAATCAGATGCTGGCCGACAGCCCAGGCTCACCGGCGGCACGACAGCCATCTCGACGGCGATAAGCCGTGCAGGTCAAAACCACAAACGGTGTAGCATCCATTGTCCATCGGTGCCCGCTATGTAACTATATGCCTGTCCCGATACAAGTATTAGCTCTCCCACCGTAGATGGACGCCTTCTCGAGGCCTGTCCGTGCTCTCCAGCTCTTGACCCTGGCCCCAGAGCGAATGCGCCGGCTGTGTCTGTCTCTCAAACTGTTCAAGGTCCCCCTCGCAATCAAAACTCCGTAAACGCCAGGCTGTGCTGTCTTTGCGAATCCTCGGCTGCCCCGTCTGGTCCACCGACTGGCCAGCGTCGAGCCCCAGAGGTGTATATACAACGATCCATCTGCCTGTCGCCGAGGCACAGGCGGCCGGCCTGTGCGCATGCGCAGTTCCAGACGCCCAAAACAGAGCACCCACAAGGTAGAGACGGTCGTGTGTGGTCGGGGGCGCTCATGAGTTGTTCTTGCCCCAGATGGGAGCCCCGAGAGGCTTGCTGACGCCAAAGCCGACGCCGACGGCCACTCCCACGACGAGCACGACAATGAGTATCTTGACGGCGATTCGCGTGCGGCGGTCGAGGCGCGCCAGGCAGGCACAGCTGCGTTGCCTCTTGGCCGCCTTGGCCCGCTGCTTCCAGTGGTCCTTGCCCGGCCAGACCTGGCAGTCGTTCCTCCTAGTCAAGACGATGCTGGAGCGCGGGCACTTGTCCGTCGAGCCGTTGGTCATCATGGCCTCGACATCCGTGTCAAAGGGGTTGGCGCTCCGCTCGGATCGAGGCGACGTGTGCCCGCTGGGGCATGGCGACCTGTCAAAGGGGCTGGGGCACGACCCGAGCGTGGTCGCGAGCGTCGCCTTTTCCATTGTCGCAATCGTCGTGTCGATGTGAATGCCGGCCGTCAGAGGCGGCTGGTCTTTGGTGGTGGGCGACGCCATGGCTGCGGCGGCGCGAAGTTGTTGCTGGTCGTCGGCAATGTCGAGCTTTCGACGGTCTGCGAGAGAGGCGAGCGACCTGATGGTTGTATGTCAAGCAACGATGAGATGGGGAACTCCCTACAGTCAGGACGAGGTGTCAGCGGGCAAGGTGGCTGGCATTCAAGGCCGAGGAGGCGAAATGGGGAGGAATGCAAAGCAACAGGTGGGTTTCAGTGCCAAGACAGGCAGTGTTGGCTCCTGCACACGCAAGCCAGTTGAAACATGTGAGTTACGTAGGCTCTGACTGACTGACCTCGGGGGGCGATGCTGCTACCAGTTCAAGGGCAGCGGACCAGCGGCGACTTTTCCCAACCAGACGGGCTTCCGGAACCGTGTGTAGAGTCGTGGTTGAGAGTCGGCCGTGGGCGCGCGGATCAAAGGAGGTCAGAGTTAGGGAGCTTGGCGTTGGACCCCTTTGGATAGCCCCGACTGCGGCGCTTGTAGGAGGAATCAGCGAATCGGCATTGCTCGCTCCCTGGGGCCGATTCGAGTGTGCAGAAACGACGACGATGGATGATGCGAGGGTTGAAGAGGCCAAAAGGAAGCTCTTGATGTTGGTGAGGCTTGGCGAAACGGAGTGAAGGAAGGGGAGGCCCAAGGCTAAAGATGAAGAATCTTCAGATGGACTTTGCCGACGAGCTGGATGCGAAAGGGAGACAGGGGAGAGGGGACAAAAGGGAGAGAGAGGCGCGGTACGGGAAGTTGGAGGAGATTCAGTGGAGGAGAGAGCAGGGGGCGAGGGAAGAAGGCAAGCTGTGACAATGCGACAAGAGGGGAATTGTGAGATCCATTTTTGCCAATGGACGAGAGTGGCTGCTGGCCGCTGGCTGCCGGTCACTGCGGCCAATAGTCCATCAGGTACCCATGTACAGTACAAGCCACAGCTCAGACGCTTGGGCCAGGGACGGACAGCTGGAGCGCTAAAACACACACAAAAAGCGGCGTGGTGGGATCCGTTAGCGAGGCAGCGGGCGTGCCGACGCGGCCACTAAGATGGCCTAACAGGCTAGCACCGCATCAGGCCATGGGTTCCTGGTGCCAAGCCCAGGGCCAAAACAGGGCAGGGGTCTAGAACAAACATTCGAGGCGCATGGCGCCCAGGCCGGGGGGTTTATTACCTTTACTCTGCTCCGTACCTGCAGTGCCTTAGGTAGGTACAGTACCTACCTACCTTACAGTACTCCGTACTCTGCCTTGAGTACTCTGCCGAGACGGAGCCCCTTTTGGGCGTGCCGGAGATTGTTTGTGCGTGGATGCCCCATGTCCATCCATCCCCATCCATTCCATGCTCAAACCCTGCGCTGCGCACAAAATGCCGGCAGCATAAACAGCATAAACAGCATAAACAGCATAAACAGCAGGGCCGCGTGCATTGACACGGGTGACGATGGAAACGTCATGGTCCACCAGCCTTGTGCCCTAGCTTGCCACTTGCGCCCATCGCAGCTGTACCCGTACTGTAGACAAAGACGCTGCTTTGTACAGAGTCTTTAGACGGACAGACCCGAGGCGGACATGCGGACACTCACTGCATGCAGACTCAGACTCGTTCAGGGCACCTTGTGCAGCGGAGCATTCCGTCGAGGCGGAGGCATCCATGTCTGTACCGCACTGTGCTTGTCTGTACTCCGTACGGGGCCAGGAAACAGGCTCATCATGCCCCTTCAAGCATGTACTGCATGTACTGTACATACATGTACGTTTTGATTCAGTCGCATCCAAACAAAAAGACCCCAGGTTTTGTACTCCGTACAGTACGTACCTACCTATCCTTGTCATTGCGTCACGCCCCTCGTCCATTTGACACTCGGCCCGTCCGACAGTCACTAGAATTGACTCCATCACCACCATGCAAACCTGTGTGGATGGGCGAAATTCCACACAACCGTGGCGGCGGATGGCTGCGCTGCCGTCAATGCTGCTCGCCACTGCAGCTCGTCACTGCTGCTCGACTCGGGCCCGGCTTTTCACTCGAGTCTGTCTTCCTGGAGAACGGCATCGCTTGGCCTACCACAGCCGAGACGGGAGCTCGCGTTTTGAGCCTTGACTGCACAGCGGCTAGTTGCCTGTCTCTTTAGGTCTAGACGTGCATGCTGGCGCATACACGTGCGCAATGCAGCGGCTGAAGCCTTCCAACCTGCCATGCAAGGCTCTGCACAGCAGCAAGCCGTTGTTGCTCTCGGCCAGCCCATAAGCGGGGGTCAGTGGGGGGGCCAGTAGGGGGTCAGTAGCAGCAGGCAGCCAGCCGAATGGTCGGTCTGCACCGACGAGCAACTCCAACGACCTCCAACGACAATGTCGCCCGCCCGAGGTCAAAGCAGCCGCAAGTCGGGCATCGCGACTCGGCACCGTATGCGGGAGGCTTCCGCCTTTGGGCGCCGTGTCGCTCCAGCGAGCTGCCCCGTCGAGGCAAGGAGCCCCGGCACCAATCATCCTCTCTCCGGCCTGATGGCTTCCTCCTTTGCCCACAGGCTCGGCCCAGTCCCGGGAGCCAAGAAAGGCCTCGAGGCTGCATCTCCTTCCATGGCCAGAATGCACTCCCAAAGGCCCCGTCCAAGCTGGAAAGAGCCGCCTCCTCAGCGGAGTCTCCCAAGCCTTCCTTCCCCCTCGACCTCGGCCGCCATCCAGCCATCTCTGTCTGCTTCTCAACGTCCGTCTTCCCTCTCTTCTCCTCCTCCGTTCGCCCAGGCCTTCTTCTTGCTCGCAACCCGTCCCACGTCTCTCTCGCCGCGCTGGCTCTCGCTCTCTCGTCTTGTCTCTCTCTGCATCTTCTAGGCCAAACATCTTCTGCTTCTGCATCCTTTTACTCGCCGCTGGCCTCGTCTACGGCCCACGCTCATTCCCGCCACGCTGTTCCTTGTTGCTCACGACGCACCCAACTGTTGCTTGCCTGCGACAGCGAAACCATCGGCCTTCTCCGCCGCCTGCTTGCCACTGATTGAGGGGGCCCTTGTCTGACCCTGGGTCAGTCCGTCCGGTCGAGTATGGCTCACCAGGTTCACCCTCACTGGACACAGGACCCTCGGTTCAGCCATCTGCGGAACCCTCCTGCTTGGTATCACCGCCGCACCACGCCCCTTTACACCCCCACTCCTGCCGCCAGGATGGAGAAGCAGACTGCCGAGGAGCGCAAGAGGCAGTGGCAGTGGCAGGCTGCCAACGGCGCCCGCGACACCTTCAACAAGTCTTGCCTCGAGGCCACGTGCTGGCCTTGCGGCGCCTACTCCCGCACCTCTTCTCGCCTCCGCTCCGCCCTCTCGGGTCAGGACGCGGAGAGAATCCCCGACCAGGGCTTCTGCAATCCCGAGTGTACCCAGTTTGCCATTTGCCTGCCCTGTACGCCCCCTTTTCCGCTCTGCCCGCCAGCACCCGCGCTGACAAGCACATACAGTCTACGGCTGTTTTCTTGCCCGCCTCCAAACGACAGTCCGCTCCTTCTACGCCATTGATGGTGGCGATGTCTCTGACTGGTACGACGGTTGCTGCTGTCCGTGCCTGACCCTGGTGCGCGACGAGCAAGAGATTCTCTTGCGAGAGAAGCAGCACTCCCGCCTCAAGGAATTGCACGACCCCGGCTCCTCGGTCCGGAGCCAGTACCAGCCGCAGGCACCCATGTCTTGGGGCGGTTCGGGATACCGGTCCTCGCCGCTCTCGGGTCGGCAAGACCAGGGTCTCAAGGGCCGCAAAGTCGCCGCTCCAGGCACCAAGGACAAGGCCGAGCCACCCGCCTCGCAGACGGGCCGAGTTGTCCCTCTCGTCCAGTGTCTAGATCAGAACTAGTACCTGGTCCCTGCCGACCACAAGGACAACAAAGCAAGCGCTGCCAGCCTGCAGAGCAGGGTGGATGAAGCCAGCCCGCAGAAGCCCGTGCCCATCGCCGCGGCACTTGTTGGGCGACACTCGCTCACGCACGACCAGCTCGTCGCCCTCAGCCTCCCAGACATGGCCCACGACCTCAGGCCGCTTCCTCTAACCCAGAAAGAGCCCAAGCCAGGCAAGCACGTGCTGGAGCGTGATGCGCTCGCCCCCACCGGCACATCTGGACTGGCTGTGCACCACCTGGACAGCGACCCCGCGGCGGCGCAACAACCGCCCGCCTCCCAGCACAAACTGACTGACGATCAGGCCGTCAAGGCGGACACCGCGAGCCATTCTCATGCACTCAAGAATGACGCGGCGTTCGCGACCAAGGAAGCTGGACGGGAACACCCTCTCGAGACGGACCCGGCAGTCAGCACGCCTGGACGCGAAGACCCGCACGTCCTCGAGGACGACGCCACCACGGCTGCTGCCAGCAGCGGCAGTGCCGGCCATGGGCTCGACCACGATGTCAAGGAGGATTTGGCCAGCCCGGACACAAAGCATGGCCTGCGATCGGACAAGGAGGTGAAGACGAAACTGCCCTTGAGGAAGCCGCAGGCGTCGGGGGGCCAGTGAAGTGGACATGGCATATGGGAAGACATCTGGCCAAGCTGCCGGCCATGGACGAGCGAGAGCTTTGTGCTCTCAACGACGAATGACCCTGAGTAGACTCTGAATAGCAGTATCCGGCAACTGCCGCAAGCAGCTTTAGCACCGTCAAATGCAAAGACTTTTTTGCGCCTCGTGTTTGCAATGGTTGGCCTTTGGGCTGGCGGGCCAGTGACGTGTCGGGAGTGCGGCAAGACATCAATGATGGCGCGAGAGCGGCAGAGACATGGTTCTAATTACTTGGCACTCGCGGGCGCGAGAAGCGCAATGCGGCCCTGGCATCATCCGTCTGTAAGGCATGAGGATGCCTCACTCTACGCGGGCTTGCGGGACAAGATTGGCTCGGGATGAGCTGGAGATGGGGCCTCGGGTCGCGGAGAAGCGTCACGGCTGGGCGGCGAGTGGTCCTGATGGGCGAGCGGCGTGGGGGGAGCCGCCGAAGACGGTCAAGCCACAGGGCGGCCGGCGACGGGGGCCGGAGGGTGGCCGGGTAGGCTCAAGGGACATGTGAGATGAGACATTGGAGCTGACGAGGAATGCCAGGGCGGCCTTCTGTCGGTTCTGACCTGGAGGGTGGCCAAGAGTGAATGGGCGGGAGGATAGCTAGGCGCCGGCCGTGGTGGGCTGACAGCAGAGCCAGTCAATTGGCGAGGACGAGGGTGGCAAGGCCATGGCTGCGTCTCGGGATGGAAGCGGAGGACGAGGGCTGGGCGCCACATGCACCTGGAGGATTGACCGGTTTGAACGTCCGCGTCTCGTCCTTTGGACGCGGTGCATTCTGGGCATCGGGCAGCTCTGCATCAGGGGGGGCGTTGTCGAGGCCGGGCAGGTCGATGAGCAGGGGGGTGAGAGTGAAGAAGCGGCTTCTTGGGACTACAAAGGTCGCTTCTATTTTTACTACACATCATGGGAGAAGACGGAGGACGGGGGGACGAATATGATGAAGAGATGACGGAGGGCCGGGTCCGTCCGGGTCGGTGCGGGTTACGGGTCCGGGCGACGAGTCGCGGGGCAGGGGCGAATCAGGGGCGCAGAAGACTCGAGAGGAGGACGCGGGTGGCCGCTGGACGAGGGCCGGTTCATGTCGTATATGTAGGTAGGGCGTACCGCGTCGTGGGCCGCCGCTTTCTGGCCGGCGCATCTCGGAGGTCAAAGTCGGTGAGAGTTGGTTCTCTGGAGAGGTACGATAATTACCGTTGCTTCTTCTTCTGGTCGCTCCCGCCGTCAACCTGGGGGGCCCGGTCGTAGCTTTCCGTTGCTTTCTTTTGAGACTGCGGGGTTCGAATGAGATGCGATGGACGGGGGGGGGGCTGATTATGTTGGCCGTGATGTGGGGGGGGAGGCAGGACGGGGGACTCTGTGACCAACGAGTGAGGTGATGTTGATGTCTCTTTGACTCAGTCGCCGCCCAGTCTCCCATAGAGATGGCAGGTCCCTGGATACTTGGGACGAGATGAGGCTCTGGCAAAAAGGAATGTGTCGAGGCAGGGAGGGAGATTGGTATGGGGAAGCTGGCATGGTGGGTGTGAGGTGGGTGTGAGGTGGGTGTGGGAGAGGTGACGAGCTGTCAGACATGATAGGTACTGTATTACTGTGTATACAATATGGGAGGCGTGAATGGACTTATTGAAGCAAATTGCCGCCATAACATGAAGGGAAGAGTTCAGTGCTGTAACATGTTCCCCTCTGCTCGTCCATCGTTGGCCAAGCCTTGAGGTACGTAATAAAGAGAGAGAGAGAGAGAGAGAGAGAGAGAGAAAAACGGGCTGAAGGAGGGGAAAAGAGGGCCCAACCATGCAGCTGCACGAGTCAGCGCTGCAAGCACTTAACTTATCTATGCAGGAGAGGAGGAGGAGCAGGAGGAAGAGGAGGAGGGAACATGGCCTGTGAGGAGCCGGCCGGGGCTCACACAATGCCACGGCGAGGCGCCTGCATGCCTGGCGGGCTGATGGTTGTCCGACGCCGGTGGAGGGATGTAGGTATTGTAACGGGGTTGGAGTTGAATACGAGGATCAAGAGTGACGAAGAGGGAGTAAAGAAGACGGGCAGAGAGAGGAGTAATTAATATGAAGGAGACGAGCAAAGAGAAGCGAGGAGAGGAGAGGAGATGGTATGTACCTCGCAAGTATACATACCACTGCGCTGCCAAGGACCCGCCTGTAATCGCCCGTGCAACCGCCTGCAGCACGTGCAGTAGTGGCTGCTGTGCGTGGTTGGGGGGATCCGCAAGTGGCGCGCGCGAGAGACGATGGGAGAGACGATGGGAGAGACGATGGGAGAGAGGCGAGCGAGCGCGTCCGTCCCTGTTCCTTGCACCTGAAGGGTGCTTGCTTGGTGTGGAGGGTTTCAAGGACGCGAAAGTGCGTTTTTTGTTAAAAAAATATCTTTCGCATCAACTGCCCACCTAACTATATCCTAAATATCCGTTCTCCGTATGTCGATTATGCTACTGTAGGGATACTAAGTTACTACCTTACCAAGACCGCAAGTTAAGTAGTACTAAGCACCCATTGTAGGTGGTACTGTAATACTAGAGGAAGAAAGGGCATTGTGTACATGGCAGGTACGTGCACCGCCGGCAGAGGAGACAGGCAAGCAGGCAAGCAGGCAGGCAGGCAAGGCACCTGGAGTCAAACCTTAGGCAGGGCGGAGCTTCATCGTGGTGAGAAGAAACAAAGAGGGCCCGTGTCGGTGTCGCCTTGCATGGAATCGCCGGTTGCTTTTTCCCATCCGACCTCGACTTGATGCTGTTATATTGCCTGCGTGAGTGCGCTCTGTCCGGCGGCCGGTGCCTGTTTCCCTTTCTCTCTCTCTCCCTTTCATTCCCTCGTGTCGTTGTTCTGACCTTCGCTGTGCACTCTTTTCGACTTCTCGCTCACACACACTCTCTCTCTCTGTTTTCGTTGCCCGTCCATCGACGCTCACTCTCTATTGTCTCGCTTCTATTCTACCCCCTTTCTGCACTCTCTCTCCCTTTTTCCGCTTGCCACTTTTTTTTTTCTTTGATCCAAACCCACTGCACACCACCACCGTCTTTTCGAGCTCCCTTTAAGCCATCCGTCCGTCTCTTCAGCCCTGATCGTCAGCCCCCGGCCAGCGCGTCGTGTCGCTAGATCGTATCCACCAACCGGGATCCCCCACTCCTTCATCGGATCGCGCGAGAGAGTGGAGACGCGTCGCGCCTGGTTCAAGCCCAGCATCCAAGGTCGTCGTCGTTGTCGTCGCATCAACCATCACCACCACCACCACCACCACCACCACATCATCATCACCACTCCTCCTCGGCAGCCTGTACACTGCCCTGCCCTGCCCTGTACTGTCCTGTACATTGCTGCGTGCCTGTATGCACACCACCACCATCACCACCACCTCCACCACAGATTAATTCGTCGGCTGCCTTGCTTTCTGCTGCACCGCTGCGCGACTCGGCGCTTAACCCCCATCCCCCTCCCTCCAGCCAATCCCTCTCTCCTCTTCCCTTCCCCTCCTCTCTCTCTCACACACTCTCCATCCATCACTGCCCTCCCCCTCCCGCTGCCAATAATTGCGCCTCTCTCTATCCGACCGCCACTTTCGCCCTGCCCTCTTATTATTGCCCGCTCCCGACGACTCCTCATTTCCTCTCCTCGTCTCCTCTCCTCGTCTCCTCTCCTCGACCACACACTAGCCCTGTGCATCCATCAATCGCTATCCAGGGCGCAACCACGCCCTGATCATCGCTTTTCGCCGGCCGCCGTAAACAACAAAAGGTGACCGTGGGACGCCAAAGAGCAGAACCAGGATCAATCAACAATAACAACAACACCAACAACTCGGACTCGCCCACGAGCAGCCGCCACCCGACTCCACCAGCACCACCATCATCATCAACAACAAACACACTGCCACCTCCCTTGTTTGGCCCCGGTGCTCTGCGCTCGACCAACACTCCCCGCGCCTCATCCATCAGCTCATCCCGCGCTTCTTCCTCAGCCATGGCTGCCATGACCCGCCAGCCATTCGCCCCCCTCGACGGAGCCCGTCTCCAGAGCCTGACGAGCCTCAAGAACAGACAAAATGGTACGTTGAATCACGCTTCGTCTCCCCGTCCGCCTCTCGTGCTCCGTCGCCTCACGGTCAAGCGTCCGTTTCACCCGTCCTGTGAGACGGGCGCCGTCTCGGTAGCCGAGTCGAATCATCTCGTTTGCACCCGCTTCTCTCTGCGAAAAGTGCCTGCGAGTAAAGACGCTGACATATCCATAGCCTTGACTCTCTCTGGCTCCCATGGAAAGCGCAAGGCTGAGCTGCTCGACGCCGACGACTTTGAAAACGTCGATCCCTTCGCCTTCAAACGCTCCAAGGGATCCAACTCCAGCTCCCCTTCCCAGGACATTCTCAAGAAGCCCTCGGCCTTTCTCTTCACCAGGCCCGCCTCGACACCTCGCCACGATGGCCGTCTCGTCAACAGCCCCTCCAAGCCCGCCTCGACGCCGCGCCGCGTCCTGCAGCCAAAGTCGCCCGTCGCCAAGCTCCACTCGGGCATCGTCAAATCGTCGCCCATGTCTGCCCCTGCTGGTCGCTCTCCCACGCGCGGCAAGCGCTCCGGCATCCTCTCCAGCCGCCGCCGCACCTCGGGCCTCTACGCCCGCGTTGAACCTCCCTCGTTCAACCTCGACGCCGCTGCTCCGTTTTCCCTCGACGCTGCCCTCAGGGCCACCATTGCCCCCTATGGTGCCCGTCCATCCGTGGCCAACAGCACCAGCGTCAAGGCCACTGCCACCTCGACCCTCCAGCCCCTGGGCGAGCCCGAGATGAAGGCCAGCTGGTTCTTTGACATCCACGAGGACAGCCCCGAGCAGGAAATGACCAATCTCCTTCAGCACAGCACTTGTGTCCTCGACATCTCGTCCGACGAGGAAAGCGAGCAAAAGGCCAGGCGCGATCGGGACGAGGGCCGCGACAAGGAGAACATTCCGCCCTCGGACGACGTGTCCCAGACGTCGGCCCGCAGGGCAGCCCGGCTGTCCGCCGACGACATGCTGGTGGACAAGCAGCGCATGGCCCTAGGCGAGATGAACACGGCCGACTTCTACGCCGAGGGCTGCGACGAGTCGTCCGTCATCATTGTGCCGGGCGACGATGATGACGAGCCGCAAGAGCTTCGACGCGGCGCCCACGCACCGGAGCGTGCGCCTCTGGCCGGCGACTCCGAGACCGAGACGGACGCCGTCGGCAACGTCGAGCTGCTCATGTCGTCGCCGTCGGACGGGTCGTCCAAGGCGGCTGTTCTGCAGCCCATTGAGGGCACGGGCGAGAGCTTTGAGCTCTGGGAGAGCGGCAGCGCCAAGGACGAGACGGAAGCGCCCGCCGCCGAGTCATGACGGACCGGCAAGGGCAAAGGAGAAAAATAATGCAGACTCTTGACCAGGAGTAAGGCTTATGAAACTGGACGCGGTATGATTACCTGTGCGACATGAATACCTGTGTGACATGAAGGGAATGGACAAGGCAACTGGCTTGGGGCGAAACATTTGATGACGGCGTTCTGGGTCTCTCTTAATTGTTCTGGGGGAGCCGCAGGATATGCGGTGTCCCGTGGTGTTTGGGTAGGGTTTGGACCAGTCGTGCCTTTTACCAGGCGGCTTCGACGCATTTCGTTTTTGCGCGGCCGTGCAGGCGCGTTATGAGTAAGGCATAGTATTAAGGCCTAATTGAGTCTTTATTTTCGTTGAGTCCCGGGATTGTCATGACCGTCAATTAGCACTCGGTCGAGGTTTGGACTGGAGGGCGTTGAGGTAAAGCTCGAGGCTCAGACTGGACATGGCCGATGAGTGAGTGGCAAGCGTGTACTGTACGAAGGTTGCCGAATAGGGCTATTTACTGTACAAGGAAAACAGAGCCCTGTTATATTCCGTGAGGCTTAAAGGGACGGTCGTGTCACCGCAATACAGTTTGGTGGCGCGGCGTGGACATGCGGGGTGCTTGCTGAAAAACCAGGGCCTCTGTACGAATAGAGTTTTCCTTGTGTTCAAACGGTAATGCTCGCTCATCCATAACCCCCATTCAGCCGCCATTACGCAGGCTCATCTCCAACCCCAGCAATCCATGGCGTCCATCAACGACTTGGCGACGGCGGCAATCGCGAGCTCGTCGTCGCCAAAGTCGGCGGCCGAGGGGGCGCCGGCGGCAGCAGCAGCAGCGGCGGCGGCATCCGGAACCAAGCGAGGCGCCTTCATCGTGCTCGAGGGGCTGGACCGCAGCGGCAAGACGACGCAGGCCAAGCTGCTGGAGCAGCGGTTCGTCGAGGAGGGGAGGCCGGTCAAGCTCATGCGGTTTCCGGGTGAGTGCATGTCGTCTCTTCAAGCAGAGAAGGCCGAGGACTGAGCCGGCCACACAACAGATAGGACGACGCCCATCGGGGTCATGATTGATGGCTATCTCAAGAGCGATGTCGAGATGGAGGACCACGTCATTCACCTGCTCTTTAGCGCCAACCGATGGGAGGCGGCGTAAGTCTATACTTTGTCTCGCTCTCTCTCTCTCGCGCGCGCTCTCTCTCTCTCGCGCGCGCTCTCTCTCTCTCGCGCGCGCTCTCTCTTTCTCTCTCTCCCTCGCGCTCTCTCTTTCTCTCTCTCCCTCGCGCTCTCTCTTTCTCTCTCTCCCTCGCGCTCTCTCTTTCTCTCTCTCTCTCTCCCTCTCCCTCTCTCTCCCCCTCTCCCCCTCTTGTCATCCTCCTCGCGGCCTTGAGCCAACCTTGAGCCAGAAACCAGATTCACACGCTGCTGGCCGCCGGCACCACCATCGTTTGCGACCGCTTCTACCACTCGGGCATCGTCTACTCGGCGGCCAAGCAGAACCCGACGCTGGGCGCGGCGTGGGCGCGGGCGCCGGAGCGGGGGCTGCCGCGGCCCGACATGGTGCTGTTCCTGGACCTGGACGAGGAGCAGGCGCGGGCGCGCGGCGGCTGGGGCGGCGAGGTGTACGAGCGGGCCGAGACGCAGCGGCGCGTCAAGGAGCTGTTCTGGGCGTTGAGCCGGGGCGCGCGCCACGAGCGGCACGGCCTGCTGCTGGGGGAGGCGGCGACGGCGCCGGGCGGGGGGGGTGACGGCGGGTCGGCGCTGGCGTGGAAGCAGGAAGAGGAGGACTTGGTGGTTGTGGATGCGGGCGCGAGCGTGGAGGAGGTTGCTGAGGATGTCTGGGCGAGGGTCGAGGGGAGGGTCCGGCAGGTTGAGAGGGGGGAGGCGGGCAGGACGGTGAGGGTGGTGGTCTAATAGGGGGTGGCACTGAGTATGGGAGGGCGAGTGGTGAGTGTGTTCAGACTTGGGGTGCTATAATAGCTGGGGGACTCGCCCGTAGTCCAGCCGTGTTAGGGGCGGGTTGGTGACGAAGCGAGGCAGAGATCTCGTTGATCCAATATCGCGATACTTATTACTACGGTAGTTGTGAAGCAGACGAGGGCATCAGGGATGCTTCTACTGTACTGTAGAGGCACCAAATGCGACAGTCACCATGTAAGACACACAGGAAGTTATGTAACTCAGTAGGTACCTAGTTGGTTAGTGCTAGCTGCATTTTGTAAAGATCGATCGTTCCTTGGGCCCTTTCCTGCGGCTATCTACCACTTGTTGGCCCTACACGCGACTCTTCCCGTGACTACTGCCCATGGGATCCAACAGCAAGCGGTTGGATTCAGTGCCAGTGCCACCGCCGGATGTACTGTATAGCACATGGACGCTGCATATGCTTTCTTGATTCACCGGCAAGGGGAGAAGAAGAAGAAGAAGATGTGAAGAGGTCACGGTAGTTAAGGAGGCGGCGACACGGTCTATTTGGGGCGCCTTCTCGATGGACATGACCCGAGTCGGCGCTCCAAGCCGTACCTGGAGACGCTCCCAGCAAAAGAGAAGGAGTCGAGAAAGAGGATGGAACAGAGGACAGAAAAGTCGGTGCGAGAGGGGGATCGTGACGAGCGACAAGTGGGCTCGGCGGCCGGCTCAGTCAAAGACGACCGTCTTGGCGCCGTTGAGAAAGACGCGGCGGTCGGCGTACCAGCGGACCGCAGCGGCGAGCACCTGGCTCTCGACGTTGGACCCGTGCTCGGCCAGCTCGCGAGGCCCCATGCCGTGGTCGACGCGGGCGACGCGCTGCTCGATGATGGGGCCCTCGTCGAGATCGGCCGTGACGAAGTGGGCGGTGGCGCCGGTGATCTTGACGCCGCGCTCGTAGGCCTGGTGGTAGGGGCGCGCGCCCTTGAAGGACGGCAGGAAGCTGTGGTGGATGTTGATGATGCGCCCGGACATGGCGGCGCACAGCGTCGGCGAGAGCACCTGCATGTAGCGGGCCAGGACGACGAGCTCGACGCCGTGGCGCCGGATCAGCTCCAGCACCTGCGCCTCCTGCTGCGGCTTGGTGTCGGCCGTCACGGGCAGGTGGTGGAACTCGATGCCGTAGCTCTCGGCCAGCGCGCGGTAGTCGCCGTGGTTGGAGACGATGACGGGCACCTCGATGCGCAGCTGGCCGGCCTTGGTGCGGAAGAGGATGTCGTTGAGGCAGTGGCCGATCTTGGACACCATGATGAGCACCCGCGTGCGCCGCGCCGTCGGCCGGATGTCGTAGCTCATGTCGTAGTCGGCCGCGAGCGCCGCAAAGGGCGCGGCGAGGTGGTCGGTGGCGCCGGGGCCGGGGCCGGGGCCGGAGCCGGAGCCTGCGTCGGCGTCGGCGTCGGCGGTCCCGGAGGCCCCGGCGGGCCCAAAATGCACGCGCATGAAGAAGCGCCTCGACGCGGGGTCGCTGAACTGGCGCAGGTCGAGGATGTTGTGCCCGTGCGAGGCGAAGACGGCCGTGACGGCGTGCACGATGCCCGGCTTGTCGGGGCACGTCAGCGTGAGGATGTGGTCGTCGGCCATGGTGGTTGCTCCTCTGGTCTTGGTGGGTGAGGAGAGAGGGACGAGGAGAGAGGGGACGAGGAGAGAGGGACGAGGAGAGAGGGCGGATGAGGGCGGTGAGGAGTCTTTTATGGGTGGCTACTTGGCTTTTTTGGTCTGAGACCGGGCGTGTCCCGAGTCGAGCTCCTTTCTTCTATGGCCTCTCGCTCGCCGTCTGCCTCGACGCTCAGATCCGATCTCGGGGGAGGAGTCAGTGATGATGGCGACGGCAAACAGGCTACGTCGAACCAACCAGTCTTTTTAAAATTCAAGGTCCTACCACCTCCACAGACGAACCACCGCTAGTCATGATCCATCCCCCCGTGCTTTAACGGTCCGGCACGCCCTGCTACGCGATAATAACACCAAAGCTAAAAAGCAAACTAATAAAGCGGAGGGGGGGCAGTAAAAGCAGGGCCATGGAGCAGAGCCCGGACTTGGCTCGGTCGGCCTCGGTGTCTCGGGGGTTGCGGCTGGGGCTGGGGCTGGGGCGAGCCAAGACAGGCAATGGGTTTCGCCGGGCTGCGTATCCCCTTTGTATGTAATGGCAATACCATGGGCAAGCCGTGGGCAGGGTTGGGAGGGCACACGGTGTCGTTGCGGCCGCCGTCACGGGTGGAATGGGACGCATGTGCGCGGTAGTCCTGCCGCTCCTCCGGACCCTCCTCCGGACCCGGGGCCTGCTGACGGGACGTGGATGCTGCTGCGCCGGCGGCGCCCCGGCTCCGGACTGTCACGGATCGCACTTGTGAGGGACCCAGTTGTAAGGAACGTGTGGTTGCTTGCTAAAGAGCGTAATGTAATCCACCCCAGTCTCGGCCCCCCTCTCCGTCTATACTGAGTGAGCGTGTGTGTATTATCTCCCCCCCCTTTCCCGTCCTTCACGTTTTCGTTTCGCACCACCAAAGACAAGACCACACAGCAACAGCGCAGAGCAACACTGCGCGTCAAGCATCAAGACCCAGCCGCCCATCACTCCTTGCCCTCCGTCTTCTTCTCCTTGCCCTCCGTCTTCTTCACCCCGCCCTCCGTCTTCTTCACCCCGCCCTCCGTCTTCTTCTCCCCGCCCTGCACCTTCTTCTGGTATCCCTGGCCCCACGGGCCCTTCTTCTGGTAGCCCCGGAGCTTGGAGACCAGCCAGGCCCAGTTCGCCCCCGGCCACCCCCCGGGGTTGGCGCAGCCGGTGGCTACCACCGGTATGCACCGGGTGCCGTTGGTCTTGGCCACGCCCGGGCGCTTGGGCGCGAACAGCGAAATGGGGAGGATGGTGCCGTTGACGGCCGCCACGTGCGGGCCCTTGAGCACCGGGTTGAGGACGAAGATGGGCGTGGGCGTCGCGCCGGGGACGGGGGACGCGCTCTGCTGCTTGAGCTTCGGGTCGTGCAGGATGCTCGGCGTCTGCACCGCCTTGTATTCGCCGCGGGGCCACACGGCCACCCTGGCCTCCGTCTCCGTCTGCGTGCTGGTCCGCGTGCTCGTCCGCTTGGTCAGGACCGGCGGCGGCAGCCCCGGGTCGCGCCCGTGCAGCACGTTGCCGTCGCCGCTGGCCTCGAGCCCGGGCGTCCGCCGGGTGGGCGTCGCCGTCTCCGTGCCGGGGTAGACGAGCTGCGGCATGCCGGCCGACAGCGCCGAGAGGGTGCACGCCATCAGGAGCGCCTTGGCGGTGGTGTTCAGAACCATCTTTGGTCGACGAGGGGGGAGGTTTGTGGTTTGAGATTTCTGAGAGTACCGGGAGATGCTGCTCTACAAGCCTTTTGGTATGAATGGTGAGTCTCTTTTCCCTCTTCTCCAGCCCGTCAGTCTGGGAGCAGACGACTGGCTTTATACCCTCGCCGCAGCACTCCCATGACTCCACCAGCCAAGTTTAAACAGACCCCATGATTGCCTTTGAAAAGACTGCTACGAAGGAAAACAAGATGAAAACTCTGAGGAAAAGTTTCACCGTGGTTTAAAAAATGGGATGTGGCTGACTGTCTGCGCAGGCATTGGAGCCGACGATGGCTTCGCGAGGCAAACTCTGCCGCGCAAAGTGGTGGCGCGGGGCTTACAAGACTGTGGTAGGCAGAAGGAGGCGCGTGGTGGGAAACCATTCACTGCAATGGAGCAACAGACTCGGAGCCGCAAGGGTTCTTTTCTCTTTTTCTCGTCAGGCCCATTAAGTACAAAACCTTGTATCGGTAGGTGGTCAGACGTCGAACAAGCTCGTCGGATAGGCTCGCAGCCTCCGGGGCCTAAACCATGTCGTCGGCGTGCTGCCCTCCGCCCACAGCGCGCCGGGGAATCGTCGGGCCCGCGGCGTGCTGCCCGTGGCCATGACCATGGTCGTGGCCATCGAAGTGCCCGCCGCCGGGGCCGCCCGTCGTCGCCTTCTCCCCGCGACGGCCAAGGAGGCCGCCCCCGCCGCCGGAGCCCCAGCCGGCCTTTCTGGTGAAGACGGCGTCGAGGGGCTGCTGCGCGCCACCGCCGAGATGGTAGGCAAAGGGGGCTCCGCGGCTCAGGGGCACGTGGTTGAAGCGAAAGTCCCAGACGGCGGCGTACGTCATGCGGTAGCTGGAAAAGGCCATGACGGCGCCGATGACGGCGCCGGCGACAATGTCGTACCAGTTGTGGAACTCGTCGATGGTCAGGGCGCCTCCGATGAGCACGGCGCCCAGCAGCGGCGCGTACAGCGCAATCAGCTTCCACATGGCCGGGTGGTAGTTGGAGAAAACCTTGAGCTTGGCGTTGAGGTAGAGGTAGAGGTAGACGAAGCCGGCAAAGGCGGCCGTCGTGTGGCCGCTCGGCATCGACTCGAGGCTGTCGTTGATCTGGTTGCGGTCGCCCGTGCACACCTCGCTGGTGAAGTAGATCTGCCGGTAGCCCTTGTAGTTGTATCCCGACGCCGACGCCGTCGCGGCGGCGGCGACGCGCTCGAGGTCGGGCTTGCAGACGTCGAGAAAGTGCGGGCGCAGGCCGCCGATGAGCCACTTGATGAAGACCTGGAAGACGGCGGCGGCGATGAGCGAGTAGAGCAGGCCGATGACGGCGTTGTTGACGTCCCAGAAGGAGCGGACGCGGACCTGCATGGCGAGGATGATGGCGATGGGCACCACGCTGGCCAGGAAGGCGGCCAGCCAGATGGGGATGATTTCCTTGCGCAGCGGGTACGCAAACTCGGGATACACAACCTCGCCGTCGGAAAAGGTCACGGCAAAGGACCGCGACGGGGCGGGATGCGCATTGTAGACCTGGAGGGGGACACGTCAGCCAGGGGCCTCGTTCCAGAGTCCCGATGGGGAGCACTCACACCGAGGCCGACGGCTCCCATGGCCGCCATGGTCAGCAGATCGAGCCAGGTATGCTTAAGCCACTGCCCAAAGCTCGGCCGCGTCGTCATCGAGGCAGGCTGGTCCCGCGTGGGATGCGCGCGCTCGCCGCCGGAGACGGCCGGGTCAACGGCGCCGTTTTTCGGAGCCCGGCTCCCGCGGCTGAGGAGGCCCATGATGCTGGACGCGTTGCTGGCCGGGCGTCGGGGACTCGCAGCGTGGTGTCTGAATCTCTGCGTAGGGGGTGTGTTGGCGCAGAAAGCCGTGGGCTCTGGCAAAGGGCAGACGATGGTTGAGGAAGCGAAAGGGGGGGGGGGAGGGCGGCCGAGCCTCAACTTATAGATGAATGTTCCTAGGCCTCGTTCTGCCGGCATCTGTGCATCATCACCAGGGCACGGAGCAGCAAGCGGCCAGCAACGGCGGCCCCCCGGCCTTGGTTTTCGAGCCTGTGCCGGCCTGACTGACGTCACCAGACGTTGCACAACCGTGGACGCGCCTCGGCCCTCTCCCGTCACTCTCTCGCGTTCTCTCGCGTTCTCTCGAGTGAGTGGGGAGAAGAGCAAGGACTCGAGCGGGGACCCCGTCACTCGACATGAAGCCCCCGAATAACCTGCTGGTCTCATCGTCGCACCGACCCGCCTCGGCGCCGTGTCTCTTCTCCTCTCACGCTGTTTTGCTGTTGGCCGAGTCCTCAACCCTGGCAACTTGCTGCATGGCAACGTCATGCCGTCCCGAATAATGCCTTGGCAGATGGCCGAGCTGCCGCCTCGGGCCAGTCGCCGGAAACATTGCTCCGCTGTCACTGTCACGTCAGTTCTCTCTTACTTCTTCTCGCTTCACTCTTCTTCTTCTTCTTCTTCTTCCTCTTCCTCTTCCTCTTCCTCCTCTTCCTCCTCCTTCTGTTGTCTTCCTCTCAACGCCTTCCTTCACCGGCCTCTCTGCGTGGCTCCAAAACACTTCTGGTCCCAACAATCGGAAAAGGAGAGGGCAGGAAATGAGAATGAGAAAGCCGAGGCTCGCCCCTCTACTCGAGTGGCGGCCTTTGAGCACTGTAGTTTCTGACGGCTGTTCGTGGACACTCGACAAGTGACGCTGCCGCGCTGCCATTGTTCACTTGTCCTGTCCGCCTTGCTCAAGTGACGGCCGTCGTCACACCTCTCCCCCTCTGCATGAGGCCTACTGCGTCCACATGTCCTCATCCCGGCCATAAACGTCTTTAGAGTCCAAAACGCCGATCCCAATGCACCCCGGCCTCGTCCGCCTCCAATGGGCCGTCGCTGCAGGTACGGTCCCCTCGCGTGCAGACGGCTCGCTGGACCTGGACCGTGTCAGACTCACACCCGTCGTCTTGCATTTCCGCCCTCCTCACCTTGCCCCGTCTCACCGTCGGCCGCGGCCCCGCCCCCCGGGCGCCCCTGGCATCCCTGGCATCCCTGGCATCCCTCCGCCCATGCCCATCTGCCGCATCATGCCCTGCAGGTCCATTCCGCCAGGCATCCCTCCGCCGCCGCCGCCGCCGCCGCCGCCCAGCATCCTCATCAGCGAGCCCATGTCCGGCATTCCGCCCGGGACCCCGCCAGCGCCGCCGGCGCCTCCGCCCATGCTCTGCAGTCGCTTTTGCATCGCCGCCATTTGCTGCGCCTTGTTGCCGCCGCCCATGGCCTGCTGCGCCCTCTGCATGTTCTTCATGTTGCCGCCCATCTTCTTGGCCATGCCCGCCATCATCCGTTGCTGCGTCAGCAGGTCCTCGACCTCGCGCACCGACGTGCCCGAGCCCCGTGCTATCCTCGTCATCCTGCTCGGCTGCTCAATCAGCAGCTTGCCGTCCGAGTCCAGCTCCTTGTCCGTCATCGAGTCGCAGATGTAAATCATGCGCTTGAGCTTGGCCCCGCCCTCCTCGTCGTCCATGCCCTGCATCATGCTGCTCATGCCGGGAATCATGCCCGCCATCTTGGACAGGGGGCCCATCTTCATGATGTTGGACAGCTGGTCGCGCAGATCCCGGACCGTAAAGATGCCCTCTTGGATGTGCTTGATGGTGTCCTTTTGGTTCAGGTTGAGGCTCTGCACGTGCTCCACCAGGCCCGCCATATCGCCCATGCCCAGCAGCTTCTGCACAAACGGCTGCGGGGCGAAGCGCTCGAGGTCCAGCATGTGCTCGCCGGTGCCGATGAAGACGATGGGCGTGCGCGTCGCGGCGACGGCCGAGATGGCGCCGCCTCCGTGCGCGTGGCCGTCCGTCTTGGTGATGATGATGGCTCCAAAATCGGCCGCCTCCTTGAAGGCCTTGGCCTGCGACTCGGCCTGTTGACCAATGGATGCATCGAGCACCATGATGGTCTCGTCGGGCCGAATTGCCCGCTGAATGTCCACCATTTCTTGGAACAAAGCCGACTCCTGGCGATGCCGACCCGACGTGTCGACAATGATGATGTCAAACTTGTCCTTTTTGAACTGCTCGACACCGGCCCGGGCCACGGCGGCGGGGTCCGTCTCGGTGAGGGAGCCATAATACGGAATCTTGGCCTTGGTCGCGTTCTGCTTCAGCTGATCAAAGGCTCCGGCTCGAAACGTGTCGGCGCAGACGAGGCACGAGCGCAAGCCCCTGGTCTGGTAATGGCGTGCCAGCTTGGTGCACGTCGTCGTCTTGCCGGCGCCCTGCAGGCCGACGAACATGATGACGTTGGACCTGCCCTTTTTGGGCTTGAACGGCTCGGTGTGCGGATCGACCAGCTGGACGAGTTCGTCGAAAACCGTCTTTTGGATGAGCCGCTTCTTGTTGACAGCCGGGGGGAGCTCTTTGAAGTTGACGGCGCCCTTGATGGACTTGCGCAGCTGTCCGACCAGTCGCACGTTGACGTCGGCTTCGAGGAGGGCGGCGCAGATTTCCTTGAGCATCGAGTCGAAGGCCTGTTTGCGCGTGAGGAGGCTCGGTCAGTCTGCGGCACGCGGCGACAGGGCCAGGATCAGGCGGCCGAGCAGTTCCTCACCTTTTCGTCGAGGTTCTGGTCCCTCGTCAGGTTGGTGACGGCCGCATTGATGCGGCGGCCGAGATCTTGGAGAACCATGGCGGAGATGCAGAGCCTCCTGGGCGTCAACGGCCGCAGGCGGCAGAGGTTTGTGAGGGGGTGGGAGGCAAGCGATAGTGGTGACGGATCGCCAGGCCTCGCGTTTTGGAGATGCTGACGCTGTGCCACACCCGTCACTTCGTAGGTGCCATCGGGCGGTGGGAGACCAAGACGCGCGGATGGCGCATCAACTTTTTCCCGCCCGCAGACAGTGCTCCCGCAAAGACAGTGCGTTTCTATGCAAATGGGCACTGTACCTTACACGGAGCACCTGATACATTCATCACGACCGAGCGGAAGCAATCACGAACCGCCGACTTTCGGCACTTTCATCAGGGCTTCATGTCGCTAACAATACAGGCTCCAGGAAGCAGGAACAAGTCGAAGAATTTACACACCGTCGTACCTTCGGCTTCGTCACAAGGCCAGTCCCCTGGCGCCCTTTGTCCACCGATATAGCGACAGCGCTCTGCGTCTGGCTCGGTGCTCCTCCCAGTTGGTCGTCCCCGATCCACGGACGCTATACAGGGTGGATCGCACAACCTTGCGGAAGTTTTTCTGTTCCTCGCGTCAGCCTCTTGCACCCGATGCCGACGCCCCTCATCTTCTTACCTGAAACTCCGTGCTCAGGGTGACGACGCACACCTCGTGGGCCCGGATGATGTTCTCGCACGCCTGTTCGACCGACTCGTTGGGGCCCAGCTGGGGCATGCGGTCCGCGAAGAGCAGGAGGATGAAACTGCCCTGCAAGAGGTAGATGCCGAACAGGTACGACATGAATGTGAGCTCCGGGTCGAGGGCCAGGATGGTCGACACCGACTGCGATGCCGAGATGGCATGGGCGGCACACTCGGTAAACCGCTTCGACGTGATCCAGTCGTCGCCGTCGTCCAGCATAGATATCGCGTCCCACTTGCCATGCAGCAACACGTGGAGAACGTGCAGAATGTGCGTGCTGTACGCCTTGACGAGACGCACCTTGGTCCGGTCGGTGGCATCGTGTGCCATTCGCATCCCCTCCTGGTACAGCGCCGGCGTGGACAGCCCGGTCACGAGGTCCCTATTGGCATGGACGGGAGTGCCGAGCGACGAAAGAGGACTGTTCAAGGGGGCGTCGGCCGTCAAGGAGGCCAGGCTCAATTCGTAGCTTGCCAGGAGTTCCTGAACGACGGCCACGGAATGGCCGTCTTGCTGTGCGCCGAGCCGAGGGTGGCGACGGCGGTGGTGCACCTCGATGATGTCGCCGAGAATCGCCATCATGGGCAGAAAGTACTCGAAGAAGCCCGTACCGCTGGCCAGTGTCGGTGGCCCTACCGTTCTCATGGGCAGGTCCCTCGCCAGAATCACGTCGAGGTTCTCCCACACGGCTTCCGGCAATGGGGCTACAGACTCGGTAAGCTCATGTTTCACCGAGGCGGTCCCCCGTTCATTGTAGGGGCCGCAACGACTCACCATACACCTCGCAATACGAATCTGGCATGGAGAGCACGGTGTTAAAGGACAAACCGAGATGTCGATCGAGGCTGTACAGGAGCCAAAACACTCTCCTGCGCTCCTCGCGACGCTCCAGGTTGGCCAACGACGTGTCTCCATTGTCTCTGTGGCATGGGCAGAGGGGATTTGCGCACGGCGAGACTGGAGCCGAGCACCGCTCGTCCTCGCGGTTGAGCCGGAGCGAGAAGGCCAGCCGGACCGCCTTGGACCACCACTTGTAGCAGTCGGACTTGAAGTCGCCCCCGGACACGGCAATGGACAGCAGGATAAAGGTCAGCACGTCGTCAATCACCCCCGCGGGCTCGTTAGCCGCCGTGGTCATCGGGACCGAAGCCGGGTTGGGCAGACTGGGGTGGGGGGTCTCGTTTTCGGCTCGTAAACCTCCTGAGCTTGATTGTGAGCTTCGACGAAGCAGTCGAGGACTGGGCTCGGTAGAATGCCTACCATGAATGCGCCTCCACCTGTCCGGGTCTCGCTCCGAGACAAGCGAGGTGGCGAGATCGTACAGGTCGTTGACCACCCTGGCGCGAGTGCCCGGGACATGGAGCAGCATGACGTCGGCCGTCTGCGCAACGCACCAGAGAATGGTGGCCAGGAGAGCAGGCGTCGTGTGTCTCGGGTTCGTCGGATGCGTAATGGACTTTTTGCGAAAGATCCTGGTGAGAATGTACGGCGAGGCGCCCCGGAAGAGCGAACTGCCCGGATCCGTGAGGAATATGTCGAGGAGCTCGCACGCCACCGAGGCGGGTATGATGCGGCGGATAAAGGGGAGCACCGGATCGAGGAACCTGTAGCAGCACTCTTCGGTCGGCGCGCGCGGCATGACGTCCGGGAGGAACCCATCGGGGGCCGTCGTGGCCGTGCTGACGGACGCCCCCGGCCTGTCGGTGCTGGCAAGCGAGCGAAAGGAAGTCCGCCGCCGGCGGGTCCGGGCAAACTCGGCCGACTGCGATCCGGTGGCCGGCGAAGGGTAGCCGGCGCTCTCGTCAGAGATGAGCATCTCGGACTCGGCCATGTGACCCTCCAGGGCGCTGACCGAAGAGGGGGCGGCATGCAGTCGGAATGCGGGGCCGTCGGCGGAAAGGGGCGGGCGCGGCGACCGTTGGATGCCAGCTTGGGTCAGCGACGGGATCGACATGGCGTGCATGGAGCGAGGCATCGTCGCCTGCGGGATGTTGATGTCGCTATCGCGCCGCGGGGGCTCTCGAGGAGGGTGGGGGTCCTGATCCATCGGCTCCGGTTGCCCAAGGGTCGGCTCGTGCGAGGGCTTGGGGGCGCTTCTCGGGGCGGACGCGGGTGCGCTGATGGCGGACGCGGGCGGCGTCGCAGGCGGCGAGGAGTGGCTGGCCTGGTCGCTATCACGGCTGACGCTGCCGCGTGAGCCCGATCTGCTCCATGGCGAGCCGAGGGAGGGCTGGATTCGCACGTACGCAGAGGCAGGCAGGCGGCCCCTTTTCTTCACCTCACGAGTGTACCGACAGGTGTATCCGTATTCTTCGGTGGGAGAGAGACATTGACCGACGAGTCAGCTTGTTGCGAGGGGTTTGGTCGGGACAGCAGCTCGTAGCTCAAGTTCCAGGCCCTCTGGCTGGTCATGAGGATGGAACAGGCGACTGCGCGAGAGGGAGGCGGATGGGAGAGGCTCACCTTGGCAGCGGCGACAAGGGCTGCCGCATTCCGCGAGTCGTGTCAGCGAGCCAGCATACGTGCACCAAAGACGACACAGCCAAAGGGACACAGCCAAAGGGACACAGCCAAAGGGCCAACTCACGATTCGCCGTCGCATCGCGTCCTCGATGTGCTGCACTTGTCGCACGCTCGCCTCGTCCGTCTCCTCGGCCGCGCATGCTCCTGCTCCTGCTCCTGAACCTGCATCGGCACCGGCGCATTCGGCTGAACTTGGACTTGAGCCCGGTCCGGCACGGGCCCGGCATCGGCATCGGCATCGGCATTGGGAGAGCGCGGCGCATTCTCCGCGCCATCTCGGTCGCCGGCCTCGGGCTGCGCCATTGCGATTGGCGGATGCGCGTTGGGGGCCCGTCTGCGATGAAAGACGGGCTTCCACTGTCCGGACTCGGGGGCCGGGCCCTCCTGTCGCCATGCGGGGAGACGGAGGGTGAGAGGGAGAGCACGAGCGCTGGCGGGGTGGGGGAGAGGAGGGGGGGGGTATGGCGGGGGAGGAGGTTGATTACGACTGTTGTCTTGGACAAGGGAGAGAAAGCGCGCAAGCCAACGGGCTTTGAGGCTGGCACCGGAGCCGGATCTTGACTTCGGGAGCACACTTCGATCAACGCAGGTAGGGGAGGGAGCATGTGCCTGTTTGTTGGCGACGATTTGATGGTCTTCTCCGCCTTATTCGCCGGGCGGGCGAGGGAGTCGGAAATGCGAGTTCGGAGGCACGGACGACGGAGCGAGTAATGCCCTTTTGCGCTGCCGCCTCGGGATCGAAGGCAATAAACCTTAATAAAATCGTGGGGGGCAAATGTTGCGAGCAAGGAAGCTCAAGGTTCTGGGAATCTCGGGTGGGCTGGCCGAATTGGGGTGAGGGTTTGCCAAGCAAATCATCCGACCCTCACCTCTCCTCCCTCCTCTCTGCCTGTCTCCTTTTTCTTTCTTCCCCCACCCCAACGACACAAAGGGGCCATCGATCGTCGATTCCGGTGGAGGCCGGCCTGGGTGGAAACGACACCACTGGACCTGGACAGGATGTGGAGAGATGCTTGAGGCAAGTCCATTTCTACTTGTACAGCGAAACGCATCTTGGGAGAGACGATGCTGACTCGCAGTCTCGAGGCTTCCAAAAAAAAAAACGAGATTCAGGGCGCGGATGACTCTGTGTTACACGTGCAAGGAGTAAATCAATCGGTCATGTATAAATAGTATACGCAACGACGGCATGTCGCGAGTCGGTGCGAGCTCCTCGGCCCTTCCTTTGGGTAGCACAGGCGTAGCATCGACGACTGCTGCTTGTGGGGAATCGGGGGGTCCATCAGCTTCAGCCATGCGTCTGTCAGACACCCGCGGCCGCGAGTCTTGTCTGTCCGTGTCACAAGGCATCGTCAACACGTGCGGTCCAACGACGACTTGGCTGCGGTACAGGACTGCAGTGCTGTCGTGCGAGCATATTCCCGACGCCGTCTGCGCATTCCTTTACCTCGAGTATACCCCGGGGTTGCCGCCTGAGTCGTCAATATTCACCGGCGACGGAGAGGGGGGGCGGTGCAGAAATACGGCAACGTTTAACCGCCTGATGGCGGGCACCGATTTTCCCTACTAATAAGCAAGAGAGAGGGGAAAGAGTGGCTCTTCTTGTTTGCGGGTTGCGTCTAATATATCTGTTGTGTCTTCAATAGGGCCGGCTTCTTCCCTAGAAGACCAGCCCACGTGGATGCAACTGGCTTTCTGGTGGCTTCAGTCCCATGGACACACAAAGTCTACCCAGGCCCGGTCCCCACCGTGGGCCAACGGATCCGGCCGGGCTGCTTCGGAATGCCACTGCGACGGGGTAGCGGAGCGAAGAACCTTCGCTGCAACGTCGGCGATGCCAGGGGAATCCACGAGCTGCCCCCAACCGGCTTCCTACTCCCTTCCTTGGCCTTGTGCGACGGGGAATCACGGACAGTTTCCACCGACGGGCACTTTGGAGACGCGCTCCCGCCGTCCAGGTCCATGAGTGTTTGGTGCGCCGCCCGGCGCAAAAAAAACTCCTCCGGTTAAGCTTCCCGGACCCCCTTGCTTGGCCCTCTCCGCTGTTCGGGCGGCGTCCCGAGCCCTCTGCCGGGGGGACTTCGTCTTGGTCTCCGTGGAGATGGATGGCAGGTAGGCTCAGTTGGCTATATGCATGGCACACGCATCTTCATGCTTCCAGCTTTGAATGGGGCCAGGACATCCTTTGCTGCCACGCTGCGAGAAGCAGGGTCAACCGGCTCATGCAACGTTTTTTTCCATATTTCCTCATCACCTTCGGCCATACGGGAGCGCAAATAGTCATGGCTGGCAAGGTTGGCGAAGACGCTGGCCTTCCGGCATGGGGACGAGCGGAGGGACTGACCCGGCCACGCATCTCATCAGCTGAATATGATCCGATAAACCGAGCACCTTGATGACCCCTGCCTGCCATTCTCCACCCGACACTCGTGCTAGCGTCGCCCTTGGCATCCGGGGAGAGTCAACGCATGGAAAGGTCGGGCTTGAGGAAACCTTGAGTCGCCATATCTGAGGAACACATCAAGTCGACCGGGCCAACGTCTTAGAGGAGACAGATTCGCCTACTTGGCCCCTGTGTTTGTATCCCATCGTGTCTCTTAACCCCGTCTCGCGTCTTGAAGCAGCATTCTAATCCGGTATTGCGCGATTGGAAATCTCAGAAGATGACTGCTTGGCCCAAGGAGCAGGACTAGAAAATGGGCGCCTCTGCTCTTAAGACGATGGCTTCATCTCGGTTCGCTCCACATCATTATCGCTGCCCTCGAGCCTTCATGCGCCGCCTCCCACACTCCAATGTCGAGCCGTCCTGACCCAGATCCGACACGCCATTTCGCACACTTGGTCGCAGCAAGAGCGCCTTCACGGCCCTCGAGACGAGGATAGCATGATGGCCGAAATCACATCCAACCCCCATCCACCGAATAAACACTGCCGCTGACAAAGGTGCTCTCGGGGCCCAGCAGAAACGCAATGACGCTCGCCGTCTCCTCGGCCGTGCCCTGCCGCCTAAACGCCGTCGGCTCGTCAAAGGGCGCGTCGTCGGGCCGCCCGCTCAGGTGCCAGTGCTTGAGCATCAGCGGCGTGTAGATGGCGCCCGGGGCGACGCTGTTGACGCGCACCTCGCGCTCGCCGTTCTCCAGCGCGGCCGCCTTGGTGAGCCCGATGACGGCGTGCTTGCTCGCGTCGTAGGCGGCGTGTCTCGCGAAACCTGCGGCTTGCCCGTGTAAGTCTAGGATTGGCTCTCCATGGACATGCTGTCCATACGTGGTCTGCATGCACACACACGCAAACACAGATTGGTTACATACCCTTGAGGCCGTGGACCGACGAGACGTTGACAATGGAGCCGCCGTCGACAATGTTGCGCAGCTCTGCCCTCAGGCAATACATTGTGCCCGTGAGATTGACGCCGATGATGCGGTCCCACTCGCCGTCGTCGAGCTCCGAGACGGCCGCAACGCCGTGTGCCGTCCCGATGATGCCGGCAATGTTGGCCGCACCGTCCAGGCGACTATACGTCGCGATAATCGAGTCGATCCAGGCGTCGACCTGGCTGCGCTTCGAGACATCGACCTCGGTGGCCGTAAAGGGGGCACCGAGCGAGCCAAAGTGGGCTTCAGCCGCCCGCAAGCCATCGCGGTCCACGTCGGCGATGCAGACGGTTGCCCCCCTATCCGAGAGGATCTTTGCCGTCGCTAGGCCGATGCCGCTCGCTCCGCCCGTGATGGCAAAGACTTTGTCCACGAGCGGCCCATGCTGCGAGCTGGGTTTGAGAGTCATGTCATCTACGCTGGGGGCAGCGCCTTGTACGACCCTGCTGCCGAGCGGCCGGGCGAATCGAATCAGTGCCTGGACGTCCGTGGCAGCATGCGGATGCGGCGATGTCGAGGAAGGCGGCTGGACGGAAGGGTGGGATTCGAGGCTTTTATCTCAAGCACGGGTTGAGCCTTTCCGAGCAGATGTAGGAGACACTTGCAAGTGTCGCCCATATGATCGAAGAAGGAGAGAGTACCAAGGCCTCTGATTTTCGTACAAGACGTAGATCGAGCGAGGCATATATATACCTGGCGTGTGCGAATAGGGGTCAGTGACGGAGAGTAGGGCTCGATAGGCCCTTTACCGACCACAAGGCATGCCTTTTGTCTATACGACGCGCGTGCCCAGATAGCATGCCGAATCCGCGGCTTGCCGTCGCAAGACAAGAATGCCCATCAGGTCGTGTATGCACAGTCCATCCCAGTAGGGGATCCCGTATGTGCAGTATGTACGATGCCAAGGGCGCAATAAGAAGCGTCGGCTCCGTCAGCGTACATTCCAAGTCCAGGTCCACTTATTCTAGCCGACGGTTAATGTGTGAAATATCCGACGGCAGAAAAGCTGGTGTTGGTGCAGAGCCTTGGGATGGCCCTCGGTGTTAGACCCGGGAACCGCAACCATTTTACCCCCTGAGTTGGCCACGTTACCAGGCGAGCGCTCAACCTTGGCCACGATAAGCTTCCACCACGTTTATTTTCACGGCAGCACTAAAGAGTGACCCCGGTCCCAAAAAAGAGACATGCTCCGGCATTCTGATCGGTCACATGCACCTGAGCTTCAACGGCCGCCGTATGTCCATCGTCATTCGTCGTCACAGCTTGGCAACCCGCAGTTTACCGCGACACGTCGTTTAGTCGCGATTCAATCATATACTTGAACAATCTCCGATGAGTGCTTCTCCCCCTCGAGCCATGTGATACGCACGGCGAGCAGGAGCGCCGTTACCTGCTTTATCGCTTCGCCATCACATGCCAGGCTTCCGGATCGGGTACATTTGTTGCATGAATGGCGCTTCTACTGGATCCTGACGTGTACTTGGCTCTCGGGGCGATCTCGCGGGTAAAGGCGGGCTCGAGCTCATCTGATCCCCTCGTCACCGGGAAAGGGCCGACTCGAGACTACTTATATGCCTTGAGGTTTCCTGGGCCAGTGCCGTCGCGAAAACGGCCCAGCTTGGATTGGTGCCAGCTTCTGTGAGTGGCTTTTCTCTGTGTCACATTTACGTGAAAAGGAAGCTCTCCTGGTTTGGTTCGCCATCAGTACTTGTAAGTCGGCTGTATCGGGCTCCGACGCATGACGCGGCGGCCATGCGGGGAGTCAAGTGCACCGGCACCGGAGCCCGCCCGTGGCTTCAGGATCATTGCAGCTTCACTTCATGTTGCCAGCTTGCAATCCACAACGTGGCCAGAAACGGCTTGATTTGAGCGCGGCACAAACAACGCCATGTCTTCTCCCACAGCGCAGCGCGAGGCATCTGTCCCCCCCTCCAACGTCATGGCCGGCGTCCCGGAGCATATTCTGCGACTCCTGGGCCGGCTCCACGCCGAGTCTGCGGAGCAGGAGGCCCGGATTCGCCCGGACGAGCTCCATGGCGACTCGCTGGCCGGGACCACGCGGGACAAGTTCATTGCCCTCGACCAGGATAAGGCGCAGTGTGTCTATGCCCTCTGCCGTGCCATCGGCGCCCGCACCATCGTCGAAGCCGGCACGTCGTTTGGCGTCAGCACCATCTACCTCGCCTTGGCTGCGGCTGCCAACACCTCGAGCGCTGCCGACAGCCGTTCGGCGAGAGTGATTGCGACCGAGCACGAGCCCACCAAGGCGGTGCGCGCTCGGGAACACTGGCGTCAGTGTGGCGATGCCGTCGGCAGTGTCATAGAGCTCCGCGAGGGGGACTTGCTCGAGACGCTAAAGGACGATCTGGGCGAGGTGGACTTTTTGCTTCTGGACAGTAAGGCCTCTCTCATCTCCGTCTGTACAGGCGGATATGGCAGTGGCTGAAGCCGGATCGATGGGCCTGCGAATGCTCATCATCGTTGCACACTTGCTGACGCTTACATATAATAGTCTGGACGCCCATGGCCCTTCCAACGCTGCAGCTTGTCCAGCCCAGAATGCGTCGCGGAGCCGTGATCATCACGGACAACACCATAAAGGCTGCCGAGGGCTACAAAGAGCTGCTGAATCACCTGCGCGGCCCGGCCAGTCCTTTTATCAACGTTACGCTGCCTTACAGCAATGGGCTCGAAATGAGCATTTACTTGCCGCAGTAAGCGAGTGCACTCAGGACAGTCAAAGATCAGAAACGTCTCGCTCAAACTGAAAACATATAAATTTAGTCTCGTCAAGGAAAGAAAGAAGTGAGAAAAAGCCTCCTTGCCACTGCTCTACAGAAGCCGTCATCCAATGTAAACAATCGTGATCCACCGTGTAGAAAGGCGCCCGGCTCCCGCGGTGGCGCAATATATACATGAAGCCGCATGAAGCTCGACATGAAAAGGGATGCTTAGTGTTTCCGGGCCTGCTTGAACTTCAGGCTTGAAGCTTGCTTCGTGAAGCCGTTATTGATCAACAGGTTGGCAGTGCCGCTGGGAACGTCAGAGACAACATCTTTGAGCGCTTTCTGAGCCAGCAGCCCGCAGAGGCCCTCGGCCTTCTGGCCGGTGCCCAGGAAGTAGGCGCCGAGGCCGGCGACGTGGGGGGATGCCATGGACGTGCCGGAGATGGACTTGGTCTTGCCGTCGATCCAGGTGCTGGTGATGTTGGTGCCGGGCGCGAGGACGGCGACGAGGCTGCCGATGTTGGAATAGGTGGCGAGGCTGTCGGAGCGAGTGGTGGCGCCGACGGTGCACGCGGTCTTCTCAGAGGCTGGAGAGTAGCCTTCCGCGTCCTGGCCGTCGTTGCCGGCGGCCACGGCGAGGAAGAGACCGGCCTTGACGATGTTGGCCGCCGCAGCGTTGACCGTCTTGGAGTAGCCGCCGCCCAGCGACATGTTGACGACGACGCCCTTGGGGCATTTTTGGCCGGCGGCGTCCTTGGCTACAAACTCCATGCCGGCGATGACGCCGGAGCTGCGTTGAGAAGGCATCATTAGCAGGCTGTGGCGCGTCGAACTTGGGTGCAGAGTCCAGCTCAAACTCACTTTCGGCCCGAGCCGTTGGCATCGAGGACCTTGACTCCAAAGAGGGTCGTCTTCTTGGCAACGCCATACGTCTTGGAGCCAATGGTGCCGGAGACGTGGGTGCCGTGGCCGTTGCCATCAGTGTCGTCGTCGTCGGCGTAGTTGGCGAGGAACTTGGCACGGCCCTCAAATTCCTATATTGAGCAATGAGTCAGTGGTAAGGATTCACTCATCATCCAGGGGCTCCAAGGACGCACGGGGTTGGAGGCATCGATGCCAGTATCGATGATGTAGGCGCAGGTGCCCGCGCCGGCGCTGTCGTCGAAGCTGTAGGTCGTGCCGTTGGCCTTGGCGTTGGAGAGACGAGCGAGGCCCCAATCAGCATCAGCCTGGGTGGCAAAGACGGTGACCTTGGCGTCCTGCTCAATGTAGTCGACCTGCATGGAAGTCCAAGTCAGCGTCATGAGGCTCGGCCAGGGGTCTTGGAACCGGCTTACATCAGGGTTGCCCTGAAGCTTCTCGACCTCATCGGCCGTCAAGGCTGCGGCGAAGCCGTGGAAGCCGTGGCTGTAGGTGTAGTCGGCGTCGGCGGCAATGGCCTTGATGGCGCTGGCAACGGCCTGGCCCTTGTCCTGGCCCTTCATCCTGACAATGTACTTGCCCTCTACGGCCTGCGCATTGCGAGGGACCAAGACGGGCGCCGGGGTGGCGCGCTTGGAAGGCGCGGCGAGAGCCAGCGGGAGGAGAGCGAGCAGAGCGACGGAATGCATCTTGGCTTGCGTCCTGGCACGAGGTTGTCGAGGATGAAACTGAAACTAGTGAATTGGAGTGCGAAGAAGAGAATGCGAATAACGGAGAAAGAAGTCTGAAAACCAGCAGATAAACGAAGAGTTGGTGGCAAGAGCTCACGGGGGACGAGGCTGGCTCGTTGGCTCGGTGACAGAAGGCTGCGGATGAGGCTGGAGAGACAAGAGAGCCGAGATCATGTTTGCGAGGACGAGAAGCTGTCTATTTATCATGAAGCAGAGCATGGGGGTCTCCTCGACCGCGTTTCGAGCGTCGGCCAGAAACTGGAGGAAGATCCAAAAGAAGGAAGACACATCGTGACCATGTCCACCATGCCTCCGTGCTTGGCCGTCGTCGCCCATGGCGCCATCGCTGTCCCATGCCATGCGGCCCCCCTTATCGAGTAGGTGACGGAAAAGCTTCGCCGGCCCTGGCTATCTCGTGAGGGTGGCAATCACTAGGGCCGCCTCCCCGAAACGGCGTCGCGGGTGCTGATCTGGCCAATCTGGCACGACCCTGATTTCCTGCCTCGGCCGATCGTCGCACAATCACCTACCTACCTAATGGAGAATAGAGGTGTGTAGGAACTTCTGCCGGACCCGACAGACGCGCCCCCATCGGAGGACACGGCGGCGGAAGCCCGTTTTCTCTGAATGGACACCGAGTTTCCTCACTGCTTGATGCTCCGTGCGTTGGCCAACATGTGAGGAGGTTGAGTGGTGAGTTGCGTCCAGAGGGTTGATGCCGGGGGGGTAATTGGCTGCTTGATGCAGTCCCCTGCTGACGACGGTCCAAGCAAGGTGAAGGTAAAAATCGGAAACAGTGAAAAGAAAGGAACATGGTGGTGAAAGATGGTTAAAGGGGACCGAGTCGACATTGGCTCAGACAAGCCAGGCCCCATTGCCGACTCCACCGAAAACGGGGAAATCTGCATCGGAATCGCAGACGGTTTGACTTTGCGGCCAAGGGTTGGGCAATTTCCAGCGTTTGGCTTGGAGACTGACAAAAGCAACCTATCACGACGCGCGGATGGCGCGTGTAAGACGATATAACGCAACCGCTTCTTGGTGGATAGACCAGATGGGATTGGACAAAAGCGTCTAGTGGTTGGGCTCATCGGTTTCCCAACCCAGCAAGTCGCATCCTGGCCAAGGAAGACGCTCCAAGCCCAGGTTATTGCCGAGTCTTGTACGCTGGTGTGGCATCAGGGCAACGAAACTGCCGATCACTTGGGCGGGGGGGCGTGTGTGTGTGTCGCCGTCGAGGGCCGGCTCCTGTCATCTGATTCGGCCGAGCTTCCATCTTTGGCCAGTGGCGTCCCCCGTATCGGCCCCGTCTCAAGTTCGCCCCGGCTTCCATCCTCTTACGGCCTGGAGGCTTGCCAACGCCGGCTTACATGGACCAAGGGGACGCCCATCCTTACTTTCGCTTGGCCCCCGGCCGGCCTCGTGTCTGGCGCTTGTAGCCGGTCCAGCGGGCAGCTAAGGAAATGCCGGACCATGAAGCTAATTTACGTCTCGTGCGAATCGCAGTGCCGTATCAGGGCCCGGAGCCAACGGCGCAGGTCCTCTTGCAACTCACACGTGTTGCCGGCACAATGGTTCGTGTACTAGTGCTGGAGAACGAGAGATGCTGGGACGCGTGAGGCTCGTCGACGCGGCACCTCCACTCACCGCTTCCCATTCTGCTTATCAACTCCTCCCTGGCCTTTGGGTCACGTCGACGGTCTTGCATTCTGCAAATCATCTCGCACCTCTCCCTCTGCAGACGACGAGCCATGGACATCCACTCTCTGCCATCGATGCACGAGGCCCCCCGGCCAACTGCCTGATCCATACACAAGCTCCGGGCTCCCCGCCTCGGCCTACCAGGCGGATTGCATTTGCGTGGCCGGACGCGGCAACTGGGCTTTTGCTCGTTGGCCGAGCTCCTTGAAAGGTAGATTACAGCACATGCATGGACTGTATATTAGCCCTCCATGACCGTGCAGACGACGGTTACCTCTCCCAGTCACGCAATACCTGGCTGTGCGCTGTCTACCCAGCACGTGCCGGCATCCTTGTCATCACACTGCGAGCACATGCAGCGTACATATTCGTACATACATGCGAATAGCCTTCCACGATAGCCGGGTTCTTGTCCTGTCCTAGGCAGACGAATCACGAACACTTGCCTCTTTCGTCTGCTCGAGTTTCCCCCTCCCCCAGGCCACGGGCAATATGGACCCAGGCACCAATCTTCCGCGGGTGATGGGCCTGCGATCTGCGTCATAGACGCTGCCAACGTCGGCTCTACCCGAGCTAAGCCATTCTTTGCTGTTGTCTGACCCCTTCGTGGCTGAAATCGAAGGTCTTATGATTTGAGCCCAACTTATTATACTACGCTGCTTGCCAGGCTGCTACCATGCCTCCAACACAAGCATCTGCATCTTCTGTATCCAATCTTCTCTACAGTTCCAGACATCCACTTCGGGGGTGTCGGGGAATTCAAAGCTTCATGTCAGCCGGAAGTATCGGGACTCTGCACTGTGGAATCTATCATAAATGACGGGAGTAGACGGTAATCATCTATTGAGCCCGAGGATGGGTCTGTCACGAGACCACCCAGTATCCCAGAACGAGCGTCAAGCCCTCGTTCGACGTCGCCTACAAGACGATTCCTACATCTTGGGACCAGCATCGATAACTTCCCCCTTGCCATTGCGGCCCAGGACGAGCATTGCCTGTGGGACTCACGACGAGCCGGAAGGGACTGCTTCACACCATCTTCTTGAGATGGCTGCCCTACCCTGCAAGGACTCGGACATGATGGCTGTGCAAGCCATCACGTTGCAGATAGATAGATGCCCGGCCCAAAGCCATCAAAGTGTGGACAGGCTCTTCACTGCAGTGAGGTTATTCGAACTGGTTCAATTGGTTATATCTTGTGTAACTAGGGAAACGTGTCCCATACAAACTGTGTGCAAAGACCTTCCTCCCTGTGTCTCACCTCTTACTCGCACGTGACTAGCGCGGTCGATTAGTTATACGTGCGCGATCGGTGCCTAGTGCACAGGTGGATCCAACACTGGAACCTCTTTCTAAATCGATGATCGCGCACTAATCAATCCACCAAAACACACCAAACACAGCGAATTAAGATGAGATAGGAAAACACGAACAAGAACACCAACAAACTCCTACCACGATGCATCACTATGTTGGATAGTGTGCTCTGACTGTAGCTCTCCCTCCCCCACACTGGGTGTGTTCTGCCACACGCCATCATGGGCCGCATTTCGAGCGCCGGATGCGCTAGCTGATTCCATCGGTCCCACGTTGGAATATGGACACGAGGATCTCCTCGTTAATGTGAATGGAATAAAAGAACGACGGTAAAGCAGAAGAAGGGAACGAAAAACCGATTAAATCTCGTCGAGAATTGTTGTGTTATTGCGATGAACGAATCCTTCCACCCTCACGTTTAGCTGATTGTCGCTAATAAACTGCGTGAGGGTGCTGTTTGTGATGCCTTCGTCATAGCATCGGCAGGGTTATCTGCGCCGTTGACCCAACGGATTTCCGCAATATCCCTTGATTCATATGCCTGCCTCAGCGCCATGATATCTATCATGAGTCGCTTCTCTGTTGTGGTGCCAAGTTTGACGAGGCACTCATAGAGGCTATATGAATCTGTGCAAATGACGAGCGGGATTTGCTTCAGATCAAGGCGTTGTGCGATCGTATTGACCGTTTGCTTGATCACAAATGCGAGATCGAAGCCCGATGTCAATCCATAGATCTCTGATGCAAGAACGCTTCGAGTAACGCGCTTGCATTTAGTTGAGCTCCAATGAAGAATGTTTCCGCGGATGGAAAATGAATCGGTTGATTGCGCGGTCTCATTGGCGATGATAATCACAAAGCCGATTTGAGAGCTTAAATCCTTATTGTTGGCGAATGATCCATCGGTGAACACAAAGATCTTCGCGCTCTCGAGATCGATGGGTATGTAACATAGGCCACGGTCGGGATTGTTGATCTGCCATTCAATCCGCTTGTTCAAAGCCTTGAAGTCGGTATTAACGGGCTCTTGGGCTTGTGCCGCAACGGAACAATCGTATGTTGCTTCGGGTTGGCAAATCGAAGCGATATATGCCCCCCGGGCGCGTTGAGCAGCATAATCCTGATGCCTACTTGATGCCTGAAGATTGATCTCCTCGAGGTTTTGGGCTTGGCCCTTCTGCCTGACGATGACACAGCCATTTTGTATGGTCAGGCGGCTGCCGTTAAAGTCGCAGATGGAACCTTCTTGGAGAATCTCTTTGGCTTGGCCTTAAAGCAGAGTTCTTTCTCCTCGATCTTGAGAAATGCATCTGTGCCAACAATGAATGTGTCATCCGTTTGCAAGGCCGCGATGCCAAACAGGTCCTTGTCGGCGATGTTGTTTGCCGTGATCAGAAGGCACGGGTCAAACGAAGAGGTTTCCATATTAAGCTTGCGGCAGTGATGGTCGTGATATGTGTTGAACCAGTGGGCTCCTGCCTCTGCGATGCCATATAGCGGCTTCACGATTCGCAGGATTGTTCCTCTGGATATCTTCTTTTGAGTTCTTGAGGAAGGGCTGCAAGGATGACACGGGCCAGCTTGGTCTGGGATTGTGTGTATGCCATCGTGATGTCTCTGATCATGATGAACATATCCCGTGTGCAGAGAAACGGTGCTAAGGCCAAGGCCACGCGTTGTGCGGGCCGGCTGATGGTAGGGGCTTGTGTGAGGATCCCACGTTTCCCATCATCATTGTATCCTTGCACAACGAGGCGTGATTTCTCGTATGGCGTTGCAGTATTTCTTCCTTAACCTCTCTGACCATTCGTGATTTGAAGACACGATATCCACCATGTTTATTCGCATCGAATTCTTCGGGTACAATGACCCCAGCGGCGAGGAGGTTCGTGAGCTCGAGTGTGTCGGAAGCTTCAAATGGGAAACCGGTGCTTGTGATC